AAGTACCAAATCACAGATCTCACGTTTATAAATGGCATTCGCAACTTTAAGGATCTTAACGAAGATATTGGAGCTGAAACAAAAACGGGGAGGGGAAAGCAGCAACCTGACGGAGGTGGCATCCGAACAGGCATAGACGAAAACGAGAGCCCAGCTTTCATGTATGATTACAAGGCTGCGCACAAGTTTGCCGTGGAGGATCTCGAGGCCGCTCTTGAAAGGGAGACGCTGTTCATGGATGTCTACGAGTGGGCGCAAACCGACCAGTACAAAACAGACTCGACGCTTCGAACGAAAGAGCGAGAAGCCGCGCGGATTACCATGGCACTGATACAAGTCTTCAATTATATGTTGTGGTATGGGGTCGGGTATGGCTATGTCGCCGCTGGAAAATCTTTGGTGCTTCTTTATTACGACCGAGCAGAGCCACTTGTTTTGCGCTGGCACCTCTGCGTGCCAGACAAAATGGTGATTCGACCAACAGCTGAGCTTCATGTCGAACAAGTGTCTCAGACTGCGGTTGCTCAGCTTGCTAGCTTTTGTCTGTTGAGCCTTCGCTCTCAGGCGCTTACGGGCCGTCCGCTCAAGGACGCAATGGACCAGGCCGAGGGCATTCTGAAAAAATGGAAAAGGGAAGCTTACACGGACCCGGTTACACCGCAGGAGTCAGATGACACAGATTCATCTTCATCTATGCCCTCGCGCGGCACAGATAAAACTTTTGCTTGTGATGAATCCCCGGTGGCTCGAAAATACCCTTTGCGATCGAAGTCATCGTGCAAGGATTCTACGGCGCCTCTCGAGTCGCGCGATGAGGACGAAGAAGGCGGAGCAGAGGGCTATCAACGCCAGCGCGGAGCAGGAGCCAGCGTCAACAAGGGAGAGAAGGACTCCAGTAGGAAGAGCAAAGACAAAGGCACCGGGGGCTCTGCTCCGGCGCCCACGAAACAATACTGCACACAAGCCTGCCTTCTTGGCCTCAAGCTGGGTCGTAAACTAGACAGCCGGTGCCCTAATGTGCTCTATCACGGTGTTGGCGGCAACACACGCCACCCGATCGACGCTCAGGAGTTGACTAAACTCATGAGCGAGCAGCTGCGTCAGGACCCGTACGGGAGCTGTGATGCCCTCATCGGCCGGCGCAAATATGGTTCTAGTGGAGTGCTGTTCAAGTTAGAACTGGCACGCTTCGGCTACACTTTTGTCGGCAAGGGCACCGTGTCCGCACGTCCGACGCGCCTGGAGCACGAGTGCAGTATCTATCAGCGACTTGAAAAGCTTCAGGGCGACGTGGTGCCTGTGCACCTGGGCATGGTCTCGTTCCGTCCTGGCTACCTCTTGCCTGGCGGTGCGTACGTGATCCATATAATGTTGATGTCATGGGCTGGGGTGGCGATGGATACGACGCTGTCAAATCTGGAATGGGAGGTGCAGCGATCCATACAAACGATCTATGAGAATGGCGTGAACCACCAAGACGAACGTGAGCCCAACCTGCTCTGGAACGCTGAGCGATGCCGCGTGATGGTGATCGATTTCGATCAGGCAACCGTCCTACCACCACCTAAACACAAGCGATTGTCTCAACTTTCTAAGGCGGGAAGGAAACGGAAGGGGGATGAGTTTAACTATAACAGCACGAAGCGGGGTGTGCCTGGTGTGCTGAGACGTTCTGTGCAATCTGTACAATAGGCTTGGACACGTTCACGCCGGGGAAGGACCCCATGCGATAAGAAAGGCTATCAACTTGCTCTTCCCGGACCGGCCTGAGACGCCGCACGCCGGCCAGCTGGTTGGGCACTACAGTGACGAAGGCTGGGGCGATGTCGTCTTCACAGTGTCGCATGATCTAGACACCAACAAGACTGTTCTCGTTGGGCCGCGAGAGGAGGCCACATTCAGGCACACCTTCGTCTTGGAACACATTACGGGTGACTATTGGCTCGTAAAAGCCGCCATGCTGGGCAATAGTCGCTACACAGATAAGTTTTTCAGTGCGAAATTCGTGGCCGGTTGGGATTTTTAGCGGCGAACTTCGCTACTCAACCAATTTTGACGAGGCACATGGCGTTCCGGGACCTCGGAAGAACTTTTGGCTAGATTACTCCCGCGTGACCGGGATGCTAAACCTGGCGCGGGTTTCTTTGCCATATGAAGTGGCGAATGTATGTCTGCAGTGGGAGAGTTACAAATCAAAGAAAAGATCTCGGGCCGTGTGGAGGATTGCAGTTCGTGCTACCAGAGAGATCAAGCCGTTCGAAGAGATCACGCGCTCTGCCTGTCATGAGAGGCAATTCGAAAGGCATTGGATTTCAGCTTTCGCAAAAAGAGGACATTTCGAGGCCAATTGATATGAAGCAGATTGAAGGAGGATGTGCCGAGATAAGACGAGATGGGTACACGCACTTGTTAGTTTGAGGTCAACGTCGAGTTCAGCACAATGGTTCTTGGCGGTTTCCTCGAATAAGACGTTCTGTGACTGACTTACCCCTAGCTGTCCATACCCCCTAGCTAGACAGAGAAAAAAGTTTACCATTGAGGCGACTCGACATCACCACAGGAATGATAATAGTTGTTAAATAATATGGTTGTATTAATACGCAAAACCAGCTTTAGGTCATACCCTGTCTTCCAATTAGCCATGCGCTGTGACAAGTAAAAATGGGCGCGCTAATTTGCAGGCCCGCGTGCCTATTAATCAGCGGTACGAACTGGAAACGACCACTACAGCTTTCTGCTGTTGATGCGCTCGCGCTTGGGATCCTCTTGAACAGCGGCTTTCTGCTCTTATTGTTTCCTGGTGGGGCAGAGCATCCTAACAAAGCAGTTATTCGACGGGCAGCCATTTCTAGCCCTTTACGCCCTGGTGTACGCCTTTTCTGGCCTTTTCTTACCAAACCGGTGTACGCCATAAATGATATTGCCTGGTGTCACTCTTAGCATGAGTGGCGGCTTTCTACTGTCCATGCACGAGCTCTTGGATCCTCTTGAACAACGACTTTCTGCTAGGGCAGAGCATCTTCACAAAGCAGTTATTCGACGTGCAGCCGTTTCTGGCCCTGGACCACTACCCCGGTGTACGCCTTTTCTGGCTCTTGTCTACCACATCCCTTTGCTGACTCTTTAACACTACCTCCATGTGCGCCACAGATATGGTTCCACACTTGGTATGAGCGCTAACTTCTGCTGTCTATGCCCCCGTTGCTGGATCAACTTGAAGAGCACTTTTCGACTCTCATTGTCCCGTGGGGGATGTTACGCCGCGCGCGCTTCCCACGCGTAAGTTACCATCACTAGTCAGTCAACCGCGTCAAGCCCAACGAGAGAGTAGGAGGTAGCTTTCGAGGAGTCCACAGCCGCCCTCGACTGTGACCAGATACGTTAGCTTGGCACTGCGCAGTAGTAGCCTTAAGTCTTTTGAGCATAGTGGACGTACCGTTCAAATTCTGACTAACTTGTTATTCCGGTGCAATTTCCCTTGCCTCGTACGCCGGCGGTAGATCTATACAACAAGCCGGAGGGGGATGCTCCGTATCTTTGAGAAGATAATTGACACAATTTGTAGAAGAGACCCTTGCCCTCTGCTTTCGCCATGCAGCCAGCATTACCCCCCATTTCAACACGGCACAACGATCTTGCCACTTTCCCGGGACTAAACGAACTTCTGGGACCGTTTTGAGAATGCAGGCCAGATCTTTGTCATGATCAAGCCGCTTTCTTTTGCGTGCATACTGAACAAGCTCCTCGGGGTCTAAGCAGGGTCCACCGCCTTGCAATATAGCTGAGCAATATGGCTGAGATAAATATTGATAATGGCTTTTTCTATCCTTCTGATACTTGGGGGTTCTGCCGTAGATGAAATAGCAGTCGTTGGAGTTCTTTGCTAAAAGTGAACAAAGCTCCGACATGGACTTGCGCTCTAACAATATCAGGAGCTGAGAACGCACATCAGAGATCTCAGGCCAATCAAGAGAACGATTGACAAGATATGGGCAGCGATCAATGCATACTCGTCTGGCTAGCGCGAGAAGACCTGCGGGCATGGCTGAGCACCAGAACAGTATATGTCATCTAAATGCGAAGGATGAGGATGCAGAAGAGAACAAACGTCTATATGCGCGCAAGTATATTAATTTAAACCAGTGGATAGACCTTGACTCACTTTCTTGGGGCAAAAAAAGGCGTTTTACACTCCGCGCGTTACATATTAAAGGGCATGGCCTACCGGTATTAGCGGGAAGTGCTGGCCACTTCAAAGACATAGAAAGCCAATTATGTACTCTCAATACGCTTCACTACCATTGTTGGGCTGCCCAGGACTAGGCTCTGAGCAACGTGCGACACCCGCACTGCAGCGCCAGCAATGTGCCTTCACTTGTACATACGTAGCGATCAGACATGTGAAGACCTGTGAAACAGCCGAGTCCTATCGCCAAGATGACCTGAAGGGCGCAGAAAAAAGTTCCTTTGGCCAAAAGTCCTATGTCGCCATACTCTGAAGCTGCTGAATATTTGGGAATAGGGCAGTTGCAAAGCATGATGGAGGGTTATATACGAGAATAGCAAAAGGGTCAGGCCTCTAGTGACTGCAGTTCTGTCATTCTATCAAAGCCACGTACAATGCAAAACCAAACCTTGCTTGATGGCATCGATATCTTCTTTTTCAAGCGGATCTTTCTTCGACAGGCTCTTCGCTAAGCGTTCATCGCTTTTCCAGGTCGTGATATCTAGAGCATCTCCACCAATCCCGACGAAACCACAATAATGAAAGGCCATTCCTTTGGAGTGCCTTTTGTGGTATCTCCTGACCGCGCCGAAAAAACCCCACGGATCATTCTTGTTCATTGTAGGTGTAGGTAACTTGATTTCTCCCCAATCTTCCTGATATGCCTCCGAATCTACATAACTCGTAAGTGTGATGTTGTATTGCTTCGAGTAGGCAAGCACATAGCTAGCAAGGCGGCGTGCATCGTAGTCAGAAGCACCGGTTATCTTTCTTGTTTTTTCGACAATGTCAAATTTGCGTAAGCGGGTGAAAAGTCCGACAAACATGCTCATGACAGCTCCAAGCGAGGGAATTTCGCTGAGCAAGTTTTCGCGTTCCAAACGCGCCACCATAGCCACGAACATCCGTCCGATGAGATCGAAAATGTCTACCAGATCATGGCCGGTGCCAATCCTCGGCTCGTCAGTTTCTTTTCTTTCAGGACGTGGAATACGTACTGCAGCATAGGAGTCGACTCTACATCCAGCAGCCATAAAACTGCCCCTTCCACGATAGCCCACTGTTCCCTCCACAGAGGGTCGGCGTCGGCGAAATCAAGTAAGAGATTTTGCATCATCTCAAGCTGGCCATAGCCATAATGATCGTTGAATGTATACATATCAAAAAAATCTGGGTTTCGAAGGTATGAATGAAGGTGCTGTGTGAGGAATTTGCGATACCCTGCGCGGCTCACAATCCATGGATGACCATAGGGTTGGGATGCCAGCTTTTGGCATAAGCAAGATATGCCGCCATCGCAACTATTGCTTTTTTCAGTTTGCTCAATGATCGGTGTACAAATGTATACTGACTCGTGGGCTGTACTTGGGTCGTCATAAACAGTTCTATACTCGGCTTCTGCATTGGCAGAAGCAGAGATAGTAGACCAACGCTTGGGACTGGCCGTGGAAGTCATCGTGACTTCTGAACTCTCGCAGGTATCCAGGCCAATGCAGACTGTGAAGGTCTCAATGCCCCTTAGAGCCCGGGGTGGAGGTCGCGGGAAACACCCACAGGACAAATTTGAAGAGGAGTTGGGGAGGCAAAAATGACGAGCGGCCATCTGTCATTTGCTTCTTGCTTTGCGCACCACCTCAATGTACGCCACAGATGTGGTTCCACATTTGGCATGAGCGGCAACTTTCTGCTGTCCATGCGCTGGATCAACTTGAAGAGCACTTTTCGACTCCCATTATCCCGTGGGGCATGTTACTGGTGTGCCTGATGCTTTTAGTAATGTGGAAGACTGCTGCTGGCATAGATGGACGCGAGAGGATGAACAGAATGAAACAGACGAGATCGAGAGCAAGATCAAGGGAGGAAGGGAGAGCAATAGCAAGAGGAAAAGAGATGAAAGATAAGACAGAGAGGATAAGCAAAAGAAAAAGACGTACTACCGGCGATGATGCTGGTAAGTAAGTCTACGCGTGGTAGAACATTGAGCGTCTGAAAAGTGGTTTACTCGCCGATTGAACAGTTCTGACTCATCTCTCCGTCGACTAATTTGAACACAACACTTGGAAGATTTGAAAAAATATAAGATAATCAAGATCAACTCTTTATACTACCTAAAAGCGTGGTTTTAGACGTGATTTCTGCTAGCCCTGGAGTTGTCATGAAAGAATGACTGGTGTATGCCCAGTATGCTAAGATCGTCTATAGAACCCGTTTTAAACATCAAAATGGTACAAAGTTTCATTCACTATGTCGAAGCTAATATCAATGTGCCCATTTGAGCAGGCCAATGGCGACAAGGTGTCAAGAGCCGTGAAAGAAAAGTCCAATCCGGCCGCAGCGCCTGGGTTCCACACAGAATCCGAGCCGCGGGCACAGCGCTCACAGCCATCGCCAATGAAAAAGGGCGTGCTGGAGGTCACGCCGTTGACCGTGACAATGACCCTTTTGCCACAATATGTAGTGCGGCCCGCTTGAGTCTTCAGCAGGAGATTGTTCATAGCCACAAGGTTGTTCGTATTGATGTCATTGAGCGACAAGACCGAGTTCCAGTTGCACATAACGCCTCCCTGATTCTGAAAGCTGAAATCAGTGCCACACGTTTGGTGTTGCCGGACATCATAGTAATAGGTGCCGAAGCCCTTTCCACGAAAGATCAAGTCTTCGGCAATTGCACTCGCAGTCAAAGTGGCAATGAGTCCGATGAAAGAGGCCAACTGCATGTCATAAACTGAGAGAGATAAATGTCGGATCAATCCTACATAAGGTACAGTACGTACGACCTGAGGGTAGATATAAAGCTTTCCAGTCGACGTCAACTTTGTGCTATGTCTGGTTAGCACCACTATCAAGTTCTACTGACCGCGCTTTGTGGCTGTTGAGGTAGTGAGGGTTCACTAGCAATGCTAGTATTAATGTGCAAATCCTACTATACTGTACTGTACATATATGTACAGTACCGGTACAGGAATATACCTCTCACAGGTATTTCAAGGGCGAGATTTCCAATGTCCCCGTCACTAAGTACAGTTGTCTGCGTCATTTGCGTCGCAACGCTCCCCCAACATCTGGCTTTTTTTCCCATATCCGTCAATGAACACTATTTTTGCCCCGTTTCAAGGCTTTCTACTCATCGATCGACTTTAGCGCACGTATACAGGGCGTTATCGCCATTTTTCGAAACACTTTGACGGCGCGCAGTCTCAATACACCCGTCAGCCATGGCCTCTTCATCGACGCCAACGACGCCGCTGCTCTAGTATGGACCCTGGCTTTTGTTCCGCCTACCCACCCAGCTGCTCTCGAACTTCTCCCACCACTCCGAGGAAAAAAGAAGCTAACACTGGATTTACTCTCTACAGCTCCTGCGTTGCCCACCAATCCAACATCCTCTCAGAATGCACAAGCACAACCTCGGCCGCTTCGCAGGCGTCGTCTCTCGCGTCGCTCAACCTCCCCAAGATTAACCACACCAAGCCGGAAAGGCTCACGTACACGCACGGCAGCAACCAAATCTACTACATGGCCGAATCGGCCTCGGACCACCCAAATCACCCATCTGCCGGTGGCCTGACGTTTCTCGTCGAGGCCGACGCGGCGCTCGGGCGCCAGGTGCCCTTTGACACCTGCTTGAGGTGCGCCGGCGCTTCTTTGCCGCCTTTCCCGCGACAGGCAACGACTTTGCCGACATGCCGAGCCACGGCGCCGGCTCGTTCAACGGCACGCTCAAGACGCTCATGGTCGAGTATAGCTCTACGAGTGGCAGCCAGACTCACGCGATTGTCAACGTGCACCAGGGGCTTGACGACGTCAAAGCCATCGCAACCAAGAATATCAAGAGCTTAGGGATACGTGGCGATGAAATTCACGGCCTAATGGACAAGACAGCCGGGCTGAACAGCAGTGCCCAGGCTTTCCATATGTCAAGCAGGGGCATCAGGCGCAAGATGTGGTGGAAGAATACCAGAATCACCATCCTGATCGGTGTGGTGATTATTCTCATTATTATTCTGGCCGTGGTCATTCCTCTCAAGGCATGAGTGATGAATATGGTTTGAATATGTGTTATGACATGAGATACGAAGGAGAAAATTGTCAAGAGGTCGTCTATAGTTTATACATTGTATCACACAACCGCCTGAATATCATGGTAGTAGCGTCTCTTGTGATTGGCGTTTGTTTTTCCCTAGCATTGTATTGCTGTAGAGTGCTGACTCACGCGTGGAGCTCATTATTGTTCGGGCAGGCTTCGCACCCTGAACGTCAGTCGTTGCACTGTCCTGGCGGAGGCCGAAAAGGGCTCCTCTACTCACTATGGGCGTGACTCAGTCAAAGCTTCATCCACCAAATGCGCTCAGGTTTTGGGCTGTTTCTGATCGCGAAGACTCAATTATTCACTGCATACATTCATTCATTGTTTATTACGCCCGGTGGCTTCCAGCCAATAGGGCTCTGGGCAAAATGGCCTTACACAAACTACCCACACATTCGTCGCTACTCTGAACCTCTAGACACCACCCTGGCAGCTGCATCATTAGTGAGGCTTAAAAAGAGCCTTAATCGATCAGTACATACGTAAAAATGAGATGTGTGTCACTTCGGTACAGTAAAAACCGAAATGGGTGTCGCGGGTGCCTTTAGTTAGTTTTAGTAGCAAGATGGGGAGGGACGTCCGCTATTTTTGGCTGTTGACCTTCTAGGTACCTTGGACGTACCTCCAGCCTACCTCTGTAACAGTCACTAAGAATAACCGCTAGAAGTTGCCTGTTTCCACTGGGTCACCCAGTTTGTGCCTTTCATCATCAATCACGTCAAAAACAGCCTTTCAAAACTGACCATGGCGCCGCCATTAAGTGAAGAAACTCGAGACCAGATTTTTTCTATGCTAAAAAGAGGTTTCTCGACCCAAGATATTGTCTCTGCGAACCTATGCAGCGCCCGAACCGTCCAGCGTCTCGAACGACTTCGTAAACTCCCTAGAAGCGAAATGCCTCAACAAAAAATCCGCGCAGGGCGGCGCAGCCGAATAACGCCCGAAATGAAGAAATACTTATGTGACCAACTGACCAACGATCCCGAGTTACATATAGAAGAGATGGAACAGATGTTGCTGGACAAATTCGATGTCAAAGTTTCGCCAAGTTCGGTCGTCCGAGCTTTGAAGGACTGGCCACGAAAGAAAATGCGTCGCATTGCCCAACAGCGAGATGAAGATCTTCGAGATTATTATCTATACAGACTTGCAAAACTTGACGTCCAGTCATTTCAGATCGTTTACTTTGATACGGCTTGCACTAATACGCTTGGCTGTCTCCGACACTCAGGGCGGGCGCCGAAGGGGAAAACACCCATCAAGTATAATAAATTAAAGCGCGGGGGGCAATGGCAGATACTACCAGCCGTCACGCAGGACGGCATCCTCATGTATCGCGTTTACCAAGGCTCGACTGACAAATTTGTAATCGAAGATTTTATATCCGAGCTTCTACATTTCTGCGAACCATTTCCTGGAAGAAACTCGGTCATAATCAGGGACAATGCCTCTGTCCATCGTTCACCGAAAATCCAGCAAATGTGCGACGAGGCGGGTGTACTATATGTTGAGCTATCGCCATATTCTCCGGACTTCAACCCGTGCGAGGAAATTTTTTCCAATCTCAAGACATTCATTAAGAAAGCGTACAAAGAGAACCCGGAGGTTGCGGAGTACGATTTCAAGTTTTTTCTGGAGTGGTGTGTCGAGGTGGTTGGAGATGACGAGGACTTGGCTAAGCAACTGTTTCATCATGCTGGAATTCCTATCACACACCCGGAATAAAATGTCATGCTTTATCAAACTCGGCAAACGCCGTACGCGGGTCCTGCCGACGAACAGCATATTATGGGCTTAATTACATAGGAAAAGAAATTGACAAAATTGACAAAATTAACCCCGCGGCTAACTTCTCCGTCGCATGATGCTTGCCGCGTTCCTGTATCTCTTTATGTTCCCAACCATGTGTAAAGCACTGCCGCACTTAACATTCCCCCTCACCATTGCAGTGACAACCATCTGAGGATGCTCCTCCATAGAGTTCAGCTCGAAGCACTGCGCTCTGGCAAACTTCATTCCAGCCTCTAATTCTGCTCTGCTCCTATCACTTTGCACTTCAGTCAGAAGAAAAGTGAAGTACTTGTTGAGCTCCTCGGCAGGATCACCCTCAGAATCATCAGATCTACTCAAGACCTGTTCAAAGATGTGCGAGGGGATCGGACCGGTGATATCAACGTCAGCAAACGTTTCGCCCTCTTTCATGCTATCCTTGTAATGGTCATTGATAGCCTTGAGATCTTTGTAATGCAGCTTGCGGTGATTCCCCTGGTGATCTACCAGACAATGAGGCCCCTTTTTGCAGTATTTGGCTCTACAACGATTGCGTTTGTAAACGCGATTCCACAGGCCTGATTCAGCGGCCATCCTCTCCCTCTGGACCTCGCTCTGGGTTTTTCTTTTCTTCTTCCCAGATTTTGCGCTCGTGGCAGACTGATCGGTAACTTCTTTGTACACAAATTCTAGGGATAAAGTTATCTTCCTACCTGCCTGAACAGTATAGCAAGGCTTTCGAGGTGCTGGTCAATAACGTCCCATTTAATGTTGTGGCCGGACACCTTGTCTTTCAAGCCACGGCCGCGTGTATTCTCGATCGATATAGTGACTATGGTCTCGTCACACGTATACTCTCGCCCTGGAAGCCTCTCGTCACTTGCTATGGTATTATCAAGCTGTGCTTGGAATATTTCTTTCCAGAAATCACTCGGAGCAAGGACAAGATCATCAGGCTGACCGTTTCCGGTAATCGGCCGTCGTCTTATGTTTTCCCGGAGGAACACTTTCCATACGAAATCGTAATGGATACAGATAGGGTTATTCTTATCATATTGCCTGTCGGCCTCCCAGTCATTCAGTCGCAGCAGTGGGAGTCGTCTCGTAGGCGTTGCAGTGTCAGCTCGGTCGGGGTCTTCGGCGGAGGTATTTACACTAGGACTTGTGTCCCTTCCAGGAGTTCGAAGGTCATAATCATCGTCAAAATTATCAAAATCAAAATCTTCCATATCCATCTGGTCTCACACAGCAATTACCGGCAGCAGCTCTGAGGCAAGAAAGCGCAGCATCAAGTTGGCGCAGTGCGACCGACCCAACCAGCGACCGACCCAGCGAGCGCCAATGTGGACACCGTGGCCTCTACGCTAGTTTCCATCGATTTCCATGGGTTTCCGTGGCCAATTCATCGTCTCCTACCCATATCGCCATGCATATGCAATGATTTTGTCCAAGAAGTAGAAAATTAAAAAAAGAAAATTAAAATTGAGCTGAAAGTATGGTTTTAATTGTGTGGACGCTCAGACGATCGACCCAGAGATCTAGGAACGCCTGCAAGATTGCCACCAAATCCGGGGGTAATTCCCACCAAATAGTGGGGCAAATGCCACCAAATATGGGTACTTTTGGGCTGAGATGCATAATGGTGCCTGACTAGCCAAGGCGCCTACTAACAAATAGGGAAAGTGCTCTGAGACAGCTGATTCAGGCTGCACATGTACAGAGAAGGACGTCTTTTCGTGCCTTTCAGAGCCTCAGTACTGTGCGTGACGATGACTTGAGTGAAGTTATTTAGTAGACAATTAAGCGGCAACTAGCCTCAAGTGCTGCTAAGAGCAGACAAGAAGGTACTTAGCAGGTACAAGCTATTTTTGGCTGCTCTCCACTAAATTTGTTGTGTAGGTGCTCACCCGCGACACCCATTTCGGTTTTTACTGTATCTAATTGTGGGTTTATGTGAATCATCTTGGCTTCCTGCTGCAGGTTGAGCCACTATGAAGGAACACTTGTCATATTGAAAGCATAGTAACGGAATCTTGAATAGTTTGCCAGTCTATCTATGCGCCAGATTCATGGCCGGTGGGTCTCATACTATGTTTTGCCAGGGCTTCCTTCATGTCGATTTTGTTGATAAAGTAATGGTTACATTTTTCGCGGTGTCGAAGGTCATGCTGAAGTCGGAATGAAGGCCGAGAAGAATGAGAAATGAAAGAGGACGATGGCCAGAGTGTGATGTCTGGAGGGGATGGCAATCTTGATAGACGGGCCTCGTGGCAGACGCGCCCCCCCACCCTTGCGGCTCATGGCCGGAAGTAAAAGCTTCCTCCATCAACACTCGGGCTAGATGTCCAGCATTCGCAGGGAAACCCAAGCCGGGGTTCTTTCGGGATCTCGGGAATTTTCTCTTGTGTTTGCACCCGCAGCCAAAAACGGCCTATTTTATACGACATATCTCAAGATCGAGCAAGAGAATGGGAGTACAAAACTGCTCTTCAGCTCAGTTCATACGCGGCGTATGTTGATTAGCAGCAGAAAGCTACTGCTCAAGCAAGGTGTGGAACCCTGCAGCTTCTTGCTCCCGAACGCCCCTGGGGGTAAGCGCTAGTAAACAGCTGGCCTAGGAAGCAGTAAAATCGCTGCTCATTCCTACGGTACAGTAGCATGAAAGCAATGATTGGATGGATGGCCAGAAGCTGCTCCTCAAGTCATATGAGCAGCGGGCGCTGCTGCTGTAGGTTGGTGTGCAGCGGAAAATCGCTGCTCATGACATGAATAGAACCAAGCAGTGATAGTTTACGTACGCCAGCGGATGTGCGGCACTGTAAGAAGCCAGTAGAGGCTTGGCAACACGGCGTTCGAGGCCTAGCTGCGAGCAAACCGATCTCTCGCTACCCGCGGACTGTTCAGGCGCTACATGAGCCTGAGGTCCCGTTCTGGCTCCAGACGCGACTTGTTGCACCGCTTCCAAACTTCCATTCCACGTAGACGCCGAAAGACGGCTTCCATGCTTGCAATTTCGCTCATATGCCGTCGCGAGGATTTGGCAATCTTCTCTGCTGGCATTGTGATGGATTCTGAATTCGGACTCCAGAAAGTGCTTTTCCGCTCATCATGGACGTGGTTCCATTAATAAAGATACATTTTTGCGTCATTTTTGGTTGTAAAAGCTCAGCAATTGGCACTGTGTCTCTTTTTGAACAATGAATAGATGAACCAACTATCGGTATAATATAATACAGAATGTACTGACTGTACTGTACAGGACCAGAAAAGCGGGAAGCTACAATGCCATCAGATCTTGCTGGCAAGCACAGCAGCAGTCGAAATTGTAGAATTGCATCACCACCAAATACAGTTGCCACTCAAAAAGCTAACTATGACGGTTTTGAACATGGCGAACATGGACGAGGCGCCTTCACCCTCAGTCCCAAAAAGAGATAGAAGGAGAGACAACTTTGTCAGAGCAATGTCGCGATTGATGAAACGATCCAATAAAGTAAGCCAGCTTCATGAAGCAGACATGTATGTCCTGGTACGCTGGAAAAACAGGCATTGGGTGTATTGCTCCACGGAAGACCAAGAGTTTCCACCATCTCCTAAAGCCTTCGTGAGTTGAGGCAGCTCCTTATTCACTTGTGAATGCGAGGCTAATTAAAGTAAAGGACAGAATATACCCACCAGTAGTGATACATAGACCAGCAGATTTTGCAGACACAAGATAGCATGAGATTGGTAATTGATTTCAGGAATAAATGAATTATGCAGACAACAACCTGTCACAGTTTGCCTTGCGTGATAGTCCCGACAAGCTGGATAACTAAGCGCGTCGCGACAGATCTGCGCATGCTAAACACACGTCCAAGCAGAGACGGGCATTATTTATAGATAAAAGAAGAAATGTAAGACTTTATAACTCAAAAGAAAATCTCAATTAAAACAATAGATATTGTGTTACTCTTTGTTTTCCGGAGGATATAAGTCTGGCTACGATGAACTGCACTGGACGGAGATGACTGAACGGAGCTGAATAAACGGACCAGAAAAGACAGTGCCGAACGGGGCTGGAGCTCGACTGATCTGGACTGATCTGGACTGAGCTAGACTGGGCTGGGTTGAGCCGGACTGAGCTGGGCTGAGCCGGACTGAGCCGGACTGAGCCGGACTGAGCTGGGCTGAGCTGGACTGAGCCGGACTGAGCTGGGCTGAGCTGGGCTGAGCTGAGCTGAGCTGAGCTGGCCTGGAATGAACTCTGACAATCGGGACACTGACACCCCTTTCGAGCTCGCGGAGCTGCTTTTGGCTCCAAAGATGGGTTATCCTGCGTGAGACACCTGTATCAAATGTCCTTCGGCGACTGCTTTGACTGGTCCTTCGATGTGCTAAGCTCTTAACAGCCTGATCTGGATGACATAAATGCCGAGATAGCTTTTGACTCTGTGAAGAGGGTAGCCGTTTTTGCGGCCAAACTTTTGATTTGAAGTTCCACGAGACTAGTCACGAAAGTATGCAAACAGTATGAGGTCAGTGAAGAGTGGTTCATCACGCCTAAATGCTTAAAAATACACTAAATGAGGACGGAGAAGTTTTACAGTAGCTACGAAATGTAGATAAGAAAGCTTGTACATAGTGAGACGAAATTATATTATTAGCGCAGAACTAAGCGAAAATGATGCTTTATTCTTTGATATCCATGGCTTTACTCACGAAGCTTCACACCATGCACGGTTCGGACATGGTTCTTGAAGCTATCAGACCCCCACGGAGAGTGGTAGTTCCTGATGGTAATGGCGGCCACGTCGAGTGCTTCTTTAAGCGCTTTGCTCTCTCATTCGGACCTGAGCATGCGCGGACGGAACTTCGCACGCTCAAACGACTTGCTCTGGCGCACATACCGCCACCACCGCAAGCGTTCATTTGCCGCCTCTATGGTGTTGTTCGTGATGGGAACGGATTAGCAGGCATGCTGTTTTCTTGGATTGAAAATAAAGGCGTTTTGTCAAAAGCAAGAGCGGAGCAAAGCGCCATTGAACTTAGAAGACACTGGGCAGCCCAGATCCGCGGGACTGTACAGTTGCTTCATGATCAAAACATCATCTGGGGTGACGTCAAGGCAGAAAATGTTTTGATCGATATGGACGACAATGCGTGGGTTATTGACTTTGGTGGAAGCTACACCCTGGGTTGGGTTGATAAGGAAATCGCGGGCACAGTGGAAGGGGATCTACAGGGGCTGTCTAAAATCATGAGCATGCTGGCTTGATGAATTGTGTGCTTTATTAATCTGACATCGCGTGCTACCTACCCTTCGTCTGTGATCGAGTACTTCATCTCTTTTCCTTCTCCAATTCTTGTAGCACTGCAACACGATCGCTAAGGAATTAGCAAAACAACTATGGTCATATTTAGGTACCGTAAAAACCGTTACGTATGTGCTACTGCCTTACATTGTTTTCATGTACAGACAAAGGCGGAACGAATGTCCCTCTTTTGCTAATTAAGAAAAAAAACGGGAGCCTTGTTTAGGCGTGCGGTGCGGCGGGGCCCTGGCTCCAACCGACCTCTGCCGTGGATATACTTCTTGGAGCACACCCGACTGCAGTAACTATTCTATCTACCAGCACTACTATCTCCAGGAACCGCAGGACCTTGGCTGCGTGCGGGAAAGTTTCGACGTTGCCTCGTGGAATTCGTCGGGCGGCTCTCGCATTTCATCTAGCTTCGTGATAGCATTCGTGAGCCCGTCGAGTCCTTTTTTCGTCAACCAAGTGTTCTCCATTGTCCTTGCAACACTGGAACTTACGCTCAACAGCACCGCGTTCATCAATCTCGACATTGGTATCTCTGCCGAGACGGTACCGGCTGCCTGCGCGGGCTTTTCCTCGAGCGAAGCGGAAGCCGTAGCGGGAGGCATCAAAATCGACAAAGGCACGGGGATGACCCTAATGGGCATGGTCCTGCAGGGGATAGCTCTCTTGACCGCCCTTATTGGATTCACAGTGCTCCTGTGGCCAGCGCTGCCTCTGCTGGGCGAATGGCCCGCGCAATGGCTCCGACTCACGAGCGAAGCGGATGGTAGGATGGTCCAGAAGACACTCAGAGGGACCACGGTGGGTCATAACTCAGTTAGAGATGGTAGTGATCGTTTGTTCTTGATCTCGAACCAACGCGGTCCGAGGGGTCTGAAACTTGCATTTTCCGCCGAAAAGGGTCACATTATCACGGGACAAGGACACGAATAAAATCATTTTTATCCAAGTAACACTAAGGGTGGAGGCCAAGGAGATTACTGTAACGATGGCTTCTCCTCTAACAGTCGAACTGCTTCAACCCTACCAGGCCATCATTGCTCGAGAGGCTGAAACGTAAATTACGAGACAGGAGAAGAGACAATGTCTGCAGTAGCTTGCCAGTACATAACGCAATCTGCTTCTTTATGCCAGGCGGGAGCCTGACCTGCATCGGCATTGAGTGGTTGGGAGGTCACCCTATTGCAATTCATTCGGGTTCATGCCATTGTCACAGCCGCACATGCGTTTTGAGAAATGGCTGTAGGAAATCTTGGAGTAACTAAATATATATATATTCAATTGGGTGTGTTTTCCTCACCACCTGTCAAAGGTAGAATTTTATCACAAAAGTGATTGCCATGATGGATTCGTTACGAGTCGTGATTTGCGCGACGAAAACCGCTTACTTGAAGTAGCAAAACTTGTCTAACTATTGAACAGAAGACAAAGCGTCTGAGAAAGCTGCTGCGACATTGCCCTGATTATATGTTCTATGAAGCTTTCACACATGGAAAGCCTAAATGAAAACAGAGAACCATGTCTATGCATATGCAATAGGCTTCTACGACTTTCACGCGCGTAGTTTCACACCATGAACTGTCTGGACATGGTTTTTGAAGTGGTCCAAGCTGGTCAGGAAGTCACCAAGATGCTGGCATCCGGGGTGGCGGCACACAAACTTCGCATTGCCTTTTTCGTGCCGAAGATGAACATTTTCGACATGGTCCATCATGTGAGAAACACGATTAAACCTTCTCGTCCGAGCCGCATAAGTCAGTCGCTTATCCCCCACGCAGTAGATACATTGCGTTTTGCCCAGCAGGAGAGGAATGTCTTCGAATGGTTCGGGCTTGATGAGCAACTTGGACTCAGCCACCTCAGGAGACGATTCTCTGCTTGCATCACAAGGAGAGACCGGCTGTGGCCGACGCACCTCGCGGCAGCGGGCGAGACGAACCATTCCATCTATGGCACGAATTTTGCGGCCTGTCATCTCTTCAAAACCCATGTCCGTGCTGAAATCACAAAGAATGGGCTGCAAGTAGGTTCTCTCGGGGAGTTGGTGCTCAACAGAGGGCTCAGCCTTTTCTTCAACGGCCGTTCCACTCAGTTGCCTCTCTAGCTCTTCGTTGTGCATCCGTCGACGATAGGCCTCCTGGTATTCTTTTGTCATATCTTCCTTAAAAGTCTTTTCCGCATTTCGCAAATCGCAGCGGCGTCTCTGGTACTTGACCTTTTCATCTACTGGTGCCGACTTGATGAATCCATATTGCTGCCGAAGTCTGATCGCTGTTTGCTTCACCTCCCTCGTCAGCTCCACTACCTCTGGGTCAGGCGGAAGCTTGGCTAGCTCTGCTTTAGGGATTTCGCGGGGAACTTCAGGATTACATCGAATGCTCATATGTGAGAATGCCTTGGTCAGCCCATCCGCGGATGGGTCTCTTTCAAGATACGCATCTTGCGTGTTGAACCCGACTCGCCGGTTGAGGTAAGCGTTGGCCAAGCACCCAGTCATCGGGTCGTGCCGCATGACCTGGTCCACGACAGGATTCGGTGCGACCTTTAGAAGGGCATTCGCATTGCCGCGGCGCATACAGTACGACGTCCATTTATCCTCAGAGCCCAAATCCGATCCGATTCTGTCAAGGTAGAACGCGTAGGCGGAGTATTTCATAGGGTCCGTTGTAGACTTCTCCCAAGCCCCTGCCGTGGTTCGTACCGATCGTCGAAAAATGGGAGTTTTTAGCATCGACGTCTTCCAGTTTACCTTGGTGGCAGCCCTCCCAATCTTGGTAGAAAAAAAGGGCGCCGCGTGAGAGAAGCCGCCGACATCAACTGCATCGTCACGGATGGCTCGTGCCAAGATATGGCTGATCGGGCAGAGAATGGGCAGCGGGTTCTCACGGAATAAAAAAATTGTCCTGTGTGTTTGATCAGCGATCCGGCTCGTAACAAAGCGTAAAGCGAAATACATACGGTTTAGGCTTATTATCTACGCCTTTATGGTGGCGAAAGAACACCTCCATAGCTAGCACGTCTCTTCCTCCCTTGTTTGGGTCCCTGACGATCCAGAGGACGATATCTTCATAACATAATGCTTTATGTAGGCGGATGATATCTTTGTCTTCGTCTTGTTCCATTGTAGCAGTCGGCTGGTAGGGGTCTGGTTCGGGCGGAAGCATCTCAACGTCTTCGTTGGCAACATCGCTGTACTCAGTGTCGGTTGTGTCGTCTTCGTCGCTGTCGTCTTCGTCGCCGTCGCCGTCGCTTTCTCCGTCATCGGTTTCGTCAACACCATCGAAAATAGGATCGTCAAGATCGGAATCAGTATCAGACTCAGACTCGTAGCCTGATTTGATGGTCGACTTCCGCTTTTGCTTCATGCTGCGGTTGGGGGGGCTCGGGTTGCGGGGTTGCTGCTTGCAACCTCGCGCTAACTTATCATCCGCAGCCCGCTCACTACCACCGGCATCCTCGCGGTCACAGTCATCCAGCATGGGGTCGCTAGCCGCTCTGCATTTTGTCCCATCGACGAGTTCTGCAGGTCGGCATGCTGTATATGCCTGGAAAAGCATAATGGTTGGCAGATCAAGGCGATCGTCCTCGGTAGGGAACACGCTACGGTCGCGCGACCAATGATGCGTGAGGCCCAGAAGAAGGTCGTCTACGCTCAGGACAGGCTTAGCTCCAGGCTGATCGTCTAGATCAAACTTTTCCTTGAGTTCGGTATTGATATACTAGGCAATGTTAGTCTATGCCGGAATGTACGGTCGGGTTCTGGGTCATATACCTTTCTGATCTCCTCGCAATGATTTGGGTTGACCACCTGGCCCTTGTTGCAGCGGCGATAAAGCATTTTAAAGTCACGCCAGTATTGGTTCACAGTCTTTTTCTTGGACTTTTTGCGTCTTTTCTGAAGGTATGTTTCACAGATCCAGTGAAGGAAGGTCATGATGAATCCTTTGTCACTGTACCGCGGCTGCAGAGACGTCCGCCAGTGCGCGTGCTTGTTTGCCTGGCAGAACCTGGCGCCGTTAGTATCGAGCCTGATGCAATAATGATACTCCATCTAGTTCCTCACCTTATGAATCTCTTTTTAATGTAGTAAATATTCGACTTGGTCGTAGCTGCATCGAGCGGCTGGATGAACTGGGTGCTGTTCAACTGCTGCTGCAGGGTATGGTAGTCTTCGGCCAGGAGCGCATTCTTCTGTGCTTCCTTGCGCAGCGCAGTGTCTCGGTGGCGGCGCTTCGCGGCCTTCTGAAGGGCCTCTGCAATGTCGCGGTGGATTGCCATGACCGGAGGAGGAAAACGAAGGACTGTTGAACGTGGTGTATCGTTGGACAGGTCCGGGCCAGGCAAGCTACTTTTATGTGAAGAGAGCAGGTAGGCAGGGTGTGCACGTAACGGCGCAGGAGGGGTGTGAGTCACACCCACCACAAATGGCAGCCGCCCCACTGGTCTTTCCCACCAAGGGCGGCGACGTTTGTCGCCAGATTCGGTGGGCTAAACCGGCGCACTTGGCTTTATTCTATAATATTAAGTAAATATTAAGTATTTTATACTCTTACTATAGGTAATAAGTTAGTAAAGACTTTATAATAAGATTATTTTAGTACTTAGTAAGAAGTTAGCCTCTTTTAGTATACTAAAGAAAATAATATAATTAATTATTATATATATACTAACTATTACTCCTCTAGTAATATTATTATATAATTATCTTATTATTTTTATTAAGGTAAAATAATAGTTACCTAAGAAAATTAAAACCTAATAATAGAGTAATATAATATTATATCTTACTTTAGGAAATACTCCCTAAATATCTATTATTATAGTTTATTTATTAATCTTTAAGATATATTTAAAATATAAGTAGCTATATCTTATATAAGCTTTACTACTATATATTTCTATATTAAATTAGGTATTACTCTTTAGCGCCTATCTATCTCTACTAGATATAATAAGATAAAGTATAGTAAAATCCTTATTATTACTAGCTATACTATATAAGCTATAAAGATAAAGTACCTTATAAATAAAATTCCATATAACTATATCCTAGAAGGTACTCTATAGGTCTATACTATAGATAATTTACCTAGCTATAAAGCTAAAATTATTATTATTAATTTCCCTTATAAGTTAAAAATTAGTTTCCTTAATAAGCCTTACTATATTAATATAACTTCTACTTATACCTATTATTACACTATTTATATTAATAATATAGCTAACCTAGAGTAAAGTAAGTTACTTAGTAACCTAATCTCCCTATACTATTAAAATAAAGCCTTAATTACCCTAGTAGAGTGTCTAGACTTTTATAATAAATACTTTAACTTTAGGTATATATTATATAGTTACTAGAAAGTAATTAGAAAGGATAAGTTTATTTACTACTCCTATACCTATAATAAACGTTATTATAGTAGCTAGGACTACTACTATACTACTATAAGAGTATCTTTTAATATTATAACTCCCTTAGCGCCTATTAACTTAATTAAGTATAATATACTTAGTAATACTATTATTATTTATATTAAAAATTAAAAGGATAATATAGTTAATAATAAACTTATAATTAATAATAATAATACTAACTTCTATAGTAAAACTTATACTAAAAAGCCCTAGGTTAAGGACACTATTAATACACCTATAGATAATATAGCTTCTACTATAGATATAACTTAGGATATACTTATAGATAATATAGCCTCTACTATAAATATAACTTAAGATATACCTATTCTAAATAATATAACTTTTATTATAGATATAACTTAAGATATACCTATTCTAAATAATATAACTCCTATTATAGAGATAGCTTAAGATATACTTATTCTAAATAATATAACTTTTACTATAAATATAGCTTAGGATATACCTATTCTAAATAATATAACTTCTACTATAAATATAGCTTAGGATATACTTATTTTAAATAATATAACTCTTATTATAGATATAACTTAAGATATACCTATTTTAAATAATATAGCTCTTATTATAAATATAGCTTAGGATATACCTATCTTAAATAATATAACTCTTATTATAAATATAACTAGGATTAAACCTACTACTACTAATTACTAGGTAGTTACTTTAGTTTAGCCTAGTAGTAAATAGTAATTAGTTAATTAGAATTAGAACTAGAATTAGAATTAAGTTTAATTAGAATTAAGAATAGATTAAAATTAAGAATAAATTAGAATTAAAAATAGATTAATATTAAGAATAGATTAATATTATACTTACTTCTTATTAGACTTATATTATAATATATTAGACTTATATTAGATTACTTAAGGATTAGAAGAAGGATTAGACTATTTTATAGATATTATAGATAATATCTTCTTTTTATACTAGGGGTTATTAGTAGGCACGCCTTAGCTTACTAACTTAGCTAGGACCCTTATTAGCTATTATACCTTCTAGATAGCCTCTCTTCTCTTTCTCTCCTATATATATATATTTATTAGGTCTTTACTTTAGCTCGTGCCTCGCCGTGTGATTCCGTCGCTCTCGTTCTCTTTGATCCGCCACAGCTATGGGACAATCGGTGAACAACGGCCTTGCACTTTTTTATTTGCTTTTCGATGGGTGAAACACACATAAAATCGCCCCTGATTTATGTCTCACTTCATCCCTGTATTCCCACCAAGTCACTCCAGTTCAACAACAATGCCCTCTGCTCCGATCCGTGATGCCTCCAATCTACCCATTCAAATCTCTCAGTATCTCGTTAGAGCTGGGCTTCCCTTGCTCGCAGGAAATGAAAACTTGGTCTCGACAAACACTTTTTGCATGCCGTCCTGCTTCTTGTCAAACACGGTGTAGACCTTGTCCAGATCCTCCAACCGCACGCGGTGCGACACCATCTGCAAGGGATCCAGCGTGCCCTTTTCAATGGCCGCGAGCAGATCCTTCCAGTAGAGGTGGACGGGAGCCTGGCCGTTGCCGATGAGGCGGATGCCGCGCTCCATGAGCGAGCCAATGTTGAAGTGGTTCGTCTACTCTTGTCGTTAGCCTTTGTTTTGCCCATTGATAAAAACCAGGCACACTCACATAGCCGGCATAGATGCCGGTCACGCCGCAGCGACCAAAGGACCGCACGCTCTCAATCATCTCGTTGAGGAGCTCGCTCGTGTCCGTCTCCAGGCCCACCGCCATCTCCAGCCAGTGCAGCCAGCTCTTGGAGTACTCGCCAGCTGCGCACTCGAGCGCGACGTCGGGTCCGCGACCATCACACAGCTCCTTGAGCCGGGTCACGACCGTGTTCTTGCTGGTCAGGCCACTGGAAAGCTTCTTGTAGTCGACGAGCTCCAGCTTGTCCGACGCAAAGTGCGCCCGTATCGTCGTCAGCCGCGGCTCCGTGTCGACAAAGATGATCTTCTTGGCGCCCTTTTCCAGCGCAAAGACGCCGGCCATTTGGCCAATGGGACCCGCGCCGAAAATGGCCACGCTGTCGCCCTTTTCGACGCCCGTGTCTACGACGCAGTGGTACGAAGTGGCCAGCACATCTGACAAGAAGAGGGCTAAGTTTATGCAGGTCAGCAAAAAGGACAATGAACCATGAGAACGATTGATGAGGACAATCATCGCTTGTTTCAGTCTTTACCTTTTTCATCAGGAACATGCTCAGGAATCTCGAGCAGATTCACATCGCCCATCGGCACACGCACGTACTCGGCCTGCCCGCCCGCAAATCCGCCCGTAAAGTGCGCGTAGCCAAACATGCCCGCCGTCTGCCCGCCATACAGCGTCTTCTCGAGCGTGTTGGAGTTTGTCTTGGAGCACTGCGACGACAGCTTGCGCTCGCAGTACCAGCAGTCGCCGCAGGCAATCTGAAACGACGCCACGTACCGCTTGCCCACCTCGACCTTGTTACCGACGCCGCGGCCGACCAGCTCCGCGGTGCCGCAAAACTCGTGGCCCAGAATGTCGCCCTTTTTCATCTCGAGGATCGCGCCGTGCATGAGGTGCAGGTCGGAGCCGCACAGCGTGCTGCCGGTGACTTTGAGGATGACGTCGCGGTCTTCTATAAGCTTGGGCTTCGGGACGTCGGCTGCCAGAAGAGCCTATTTTTAGCCACTCTTCGCTCCCAAACTTCTTTTTTTGAAGGGTATTTATGGTATACCTATCTCTACATGATTTTTACCCATCCACACCAGGGCCTTCATCATATCGTCTTTGCCGCCGGAAGGAAATGTTGATACATCTTGCTGGGTGATGGCACTCCCGTCATGGCCCGTTATCTTTTCGGCAATATTTGCTGCTTGTGCGAGAGCCATTGTTGAAGTGTATTGATGAACCAATTAAACTGTGCAGTACTGTGTAAAATTGACAATAAGAAATCGCAATTAATTTCTTCATCGACAAACAGCGGCATTTTATTAGAGTTCCCCACGGCGACACTAGTAAAACGTGCTTCTGGCCTGACGATGTCATGACGCCTACTTAGGTAGATGACGTTGACACTCGTATTCGCCCGAAACTGCGCACGTCTGATTATTGCAATCCAAATCAAGTAAATTATTCTGTGATCTGATAACGTTTCTTTGCTGACGTCAGTGCTATTTCATCATTGTGGCCACGCCTCAGTAGTTGGAATAAAGACCACCACCCACCTACGCCGCCTTCAATTTTTTTTGAAAATGAAAAAAAAAAAAAAAAAAAAAACGGCGGCAGCGGAGATGGTCAGCCGCAGTTACTAGTTTCGGGGATTCGATGTGCACACCCGTTGCGAATAATCCCCCAGTATACGCTCGTGGTGGCGTTGACGATGCCACGGCCGACGCAAGTGGCAGGTTTGGGCCGCCATACAATGCCAACCACAACACCAATGGTTATGGTAGGCACTGCATATTCCTGATATTTAGACACACCTATGCAATAATGTGGCCATAATTGACATCTTTTGACGTCAACACGACAAATGTTAGTTGAAATAGTGCGCGTCGTCCTGCAATTGTCAAAGGTATTTCGTGTATAAATAGCGAGTCAGGAGCTCCTGTCCTTTGGATTAGATTAAAGCACAGAAAAATAAAACAACTCTCAATCTTATATTTCATAATTCAACGAGACACATCGCATCATGCAGTCCGCCAAGGAAACCCTTCACAAAGTCGTGCAAGGCGACAGCGGCAAGGACTCTACTACCCAGTCCAAGCCCGGCTTGGAGCGAGACATGGAGCCCAAGCCGACCAAGGTGCACCTGGACACGCACGGCGCGCAAGAGGGCAGCGCGCCGTATTGCCCCTGCGGAAAGCTCAAGGGCAAAAATGCCGTCGTGACCGGGGGTGACTCGGGCATCGGCCGGTCCGTCGCCATCCTCTTGGCCATGGAGGGCGCCAAAGTGGCCATTGTCTACTTACCCGTCGAGGAGCCGGACGCGACGCACACTAAAGAGCAGATTGAAAAGAATGGCGGCCAGGCAGTGCTGATTGCCAGCGATCTCAGCACTGCCGTCAACTGCCGCGATGTCGCAGTACGCATCAAGGCGATTTTCGACAAGGTGGACATTTTGATCAACAACGCGGCCACGCGGAATGAATCAGGAGGCATCATGGACATCTCCGAGTAAGTAATGCTTTCTATGTCTGCAAATCTCGGTCTAACCAAGTCCAGAGAGCAATGGAGCTATCTGTTCCGCGTCAATGTCGACTCCTACTTTCACCTCACCAAAGCAATTCTGCCCAGCATGGGCAAGGGAGGCAGCATCATCAACAGCGCCTCCGTGGACTCGTACATTGGTGTGCCTTCGCGTCTCGACTATGCCACGAGCAAAGGCGCCGTCGTTGCATTCACACGATCGCTCTCCAACGAGCTGATCAAAAAGGGCATCCGCGTCAATGCCGTCGCAGCCGGTCCGGTGTGGACGCCAATGCTGGCCTCGAGCGTGGATAAAAAGGGCCAGGAAGGCCATGGACTGGGCAACAGTACGCCAATGGGAAGGCTCGGGCAGCCATCCGAGGTGGCAACCACGTACGTGTTCCTCGCGTCTGGAGAAAGCCAGTTTATGAGTGGCCAGACGCTGCATCCGAATGGTGGCATTGTTGTCAACGGCTAGATTATTCGCAACTGCCGCCCTCAGTCCTATGATGTGAAAATGGATGTCTACGTGTCACGAGCGATACCGTGGTGCATCAACATCTAGTTGATACCCGAAAAGTAAAGCCGAAGAGTGGCGCCTTGGAACGTGTGGTGCCTGACTACTCACAAATTGACTTTTTAGTCTGCGATAGGGTATATACAAGAATGGTAGCAATTTGATTCTCTCCGTGAACTAAGCCTCTATATCGTGAGTGGATAGATGGAATGTAGCGTGCCAGACTCTTTGCTACTATGGCTGATCCAATGAATTGTAAAAGCTTTATTTGCCATTTATCTTGGCAGGTGGGAGAGACAAAAAAATAGCATCGAAACTTCAATCACCAAACTAACAAAGCTAATCTCCTAGCGGATATGCGTGCAGAATCTGGCCATAGTACAGCTCCGAGTCTTTGGAGGCGAGAAAAATAAAACTAGGCGCAATCTCGCTCGGCTGTCCTGGCCGTCCAAGCTGCGACTTCTTTCCAAACCCCTCCATCTGCTCTGGCGGGCGTGACGCAGGCTGCAGTGGCGTGTGGACTGGACCAGGCGCCACAGCATTGACGCGAATGCCCTTTGGAAGCAGCTGTTTTGCCAAGGACCTAGTGAAGGACGTGATGGCACCCTTTGTGGCCGAATAGTCTACCATTGCGGCAGTTCCTCTAAACGCGACCGTCGATGTGGTGTTGATTATGCTGTGATGACCATGTCAGCAGATGGCTTCAGTGAGGGATCCGGCATCATGGTCACGTACGATCCACCTCGTTGCATGTGAGGCAGAGCATATTTCGTAATGGCAAACATTTGCAAAATGTTGCTCCTGAATGTGCTCTCAACATCGTCGAGGTTTATTTCAGCGAGGTCGGTGCACATGATTTGCTTGGATGCGTTGTTGACCAGTGTGTGAATGACACCAAACTCCTCGACATGCTTTTCGACAGCCTGGAGACAGGTTTTGTTGTCCATTAGATCACCCGCAACCAAGAGGCACTTTCCGCCCTCCTTTTCCACCATTTTCTTCGTATCGTTGGCGTCTTGCTCCTCCTCTGGCAGGTACACAATCGTCACGTCGGAGCCTTCTCTGGCAAACAAGACGGCAATTGAGCGACCGATGCCAGAGCTGTAAAGTCAATCAATAATTGCTAACCCAGAACGAGCAAGGGGAAGAAACTGAGCTACTCACTCGCCACCTGTAATGAGAGCCTTGTTGCCTTTCAATTTGCCCGCAGCAAGATATTCATGGTGCTTGTCTTTGCCCTCGAGCTTAGTAGACTCGCTGGACGGCGCCATGTCCCTTTCGGACCTAGAAAAAAAAAACAGTTAGTGTTGCTGCTCTCATGTATGCATCGTGTCCACCTACCCGGGGAGATTCTGGGCTTGAGCCTGAGGAACAGGCTTGAAGCCACCACCTTCGGACTTGGACATGGAGAATGGTACGATAGAAAAATAGCGTGGAATAATTCTTGATGAGAATTGAGTGTGTAACCCGGCACGGAAATTGCAAATTGATAGCCTGGTCCTGATGTGACTAGCTGGGAGTTTGATGAGATTGATACGTGATGGGTGCATGGCGGGCTTTTGTAGTAGACTGAGCAGACCTGGCCCATACCCAAGACAAACAGTTTTATCCTGATTTTAACAAGTCAAATAGGCCAATGAATTCAGGGAATGCGAACTACAAGCGGATGATAGCTCTGTCTCAACAATGTGCAGTGATGAGCAGATGGAGTCAGTATGACGCAAGGCAAGTTTGTTGGGCTGCCCATGCAGCAGCACTCTTGCCGAGCATCTCCAATTGAATCCATCTTTGCATTTGGAATCAAAACGTTTACAGCATCATTGGCCGAAATGCAGCATCTCGGTATTTTAAACTGGCAACGCTGCATGTTACACTGTCGTGGACAGGGCGTCTCCGTCTTGAGGACCAATGGCTTTCGCGTCGGCCTGAGGCGCGTAAGCATACCTCTCCAGGTCCCTGCTGCCCACCTCAGCCGGACGTTGATATCGACAAATTCCGAACCAAGGTATCTATCAAGATTGCAGGATAAATTGAACGTGATGAATTAACGCGCCACAGAGCATCTCCGCGAATCACCAGAGTACCTACGGGCCACCAAGATGCGGCTCTGCGAAACCAGCGACTGAAGCGGCCCATCGCGCCTCACCTTGAAATTTACAAGCTTGACCAAACGTACCTGGGAACATCTGCCTGGATGCGCATCACCGGCTGCACCCTGTCTGGCGTGGCGTATTTATATTTTCTGGGCTATCTCGTGGCGCCAGTCTTTGGCGGAAACTGGGACAGCGCAGCGCTCGTCTCTGGCTTCCACGCCTTGCCGACATGGACGCAAACGGGCTTCAAGATGCTCATGGTGTTCCCATTTGCCTTTCATTCCATCAATGGGGTCAAACAGCTTGCGTACGATGCAGGATTTCTATACTCGCGCGCGACCATTATAAGGGCAGACCGTTTCTTGTGGATCAGCAGCTTCCTGACATCTCTTGCTATGGTGAATTGGCTCTAAAAGTATGTAATGATTATCGCAAGGGAAGTGGAGATGGCTGTGATTATTTCGTGTATTCTCGGACGCTCAATTAGCTTTTACAGCTATGATATTACAGTCAGGATCTCGCCGTTCCTTGGGTATATAGAACACTCGCTTTTTCAAGACATTTGGTCGCGGGCCCTTCCTATTCCCCTTCGATACTCCGTCGGTCGTATGATAGGATGATTTGATAGCCAATTGTTTCTTCTCAATCAAGTAACCCTTTATTACAATCTCGGGTCAGTTTGGTACTATTTACTTTGGTAGTTGTAGTCGTTCCGTTATGGTAGCAGAAGGGGCGGTAAAAGTCCTTGGTTGGCTCGGCTGCACATCAATCGACATCTTCGAGCCTCGAGGTAGTACAACCGAACCGTGCAATTGGTGCTAAGATAGCTTTAGGAGGTACAAAAGCTGGAGTTGAAGCTGTAATGGAGATGGTTGTTGTAAGGGGGGACTTCCCTCCTAGCGGAATAAAATCCGTATCTGTATTGGCCGCCGATTTTGTGCAGGAGATTTGACGTTGAGATACTGGCCACACTGTTCCACTCGCTATGCACGTTAAGCAATTGTAAAATAAAACCGTTTCTCATTTTCGAACAGTTAGCTATTCCTAATATAATAAGACACCTAGTATAAGCCCTTGTTTAGCGTAAGCAAAGCAGTCCACACTAGACTTTGCCGCTAAAGCCTTGACACGAGGGAGAGCTTGATGACGGGCGACGCGTCTCCGTTTATTGTGAGGATGTAGGCTTCTGCTCGTGGGCATCAAAGCATTCTTGAGGGCTTTCGAAGCTGTAAAATTCTACCAATTTCTTTAAGTCGTCCTCAGATATAATGGCCAGGTCAAACTCATCACAGAATTCCTCCGTTCCGCAGACTTCATTAACAGTTTCGCCTGACGGAGGAGACTCCTCATGCATACGCCGGAGGATGGCTACACACTTGCCATAATCGCTAGTAGTGCTACTAACCCACGGTAGCTTGGATTTAGGCTTGGTGTCCTGGGAGGAGGCCGCGGGGTTCTGCTCGTAGGCATCAAAGCATGCTTGGGCGCTTGCGAAGCCGTAAACTGCTGCCAAATTCTTTGAGTCGTCCTCAGATAAATCGGCCGGGTCAAACTCCTCACAGAAGCTCTGCGTTCCGCAGACCTTATTAACAGTTTCGGCTGACGGAGGAGACATACGACGGAGGGTGTCCGTACACTCGCCGAAATCGCCATTATTGTCATCAACCCAAGGCAGCTTCGATTCAATAGTCGTATTGATATTGCTGGAGTCGTCAGTCGGAGTTGACGCATAAACGTGTGGTAGGACAGTGCCTAATGTCATAGTAAAAATGATCCTAGCGGCGGCGGACTTCATTCTCGGAGATTTATCGTAGAACCTGAATAGATATTCCACGTAAACTTGATACTATGTTGAAGATTGGAAATCTAAACTTATGTGTCACCTAGCGATTTATATATATAGAAGAAAAGGCCTATATAATATTAAGTCATTAGCACTAAACCACATATATTGCCTAATTATATGTAACGCTAAGCATTGTCTATGATTACGATAGGCTCTGATTCATAATCTATGTTAGTTTATATAAAACACTTACGAGTCATGTATTTAGCGGCTTACATGGCTAGTAATGCTTTGGTCTCTAATATTGTTTCATTCACCGAGGTTTACTCAGTCTACTATATAACGAGTCATAGGAGGTGTGGTCATGAGACGAGATAGGGCTTGGCATTATTACATTTAAAAGGCTACCGAATTGACTTTTTCACCTCTCTACATCCTCCTACGATGCCTCCTTTGCGCAGTTGCAGCAAGAATTAGCTGCGATGTGTTATTGCCGGCCGTCATTGGTCAGAAGGGTCACCTTTACGTGTAACTCCGAAGGCCCTGTTGCGTCCTGACTTTAATGATCATGTATTAGTTGATGTCACTAGCTTTATTATGAAAACACTACGCCGCTGTTATCGTCGCCCCCGGTACGCTAGAGAAGTTAGCTATAAGGGACGGAATCATTAACGGGCTAGGTAACTGCACGGTTACGCAGTGACTATAATATGCTTCTTGCTGGGCTATTCATAGTACTGCTGCTACTCTACAGTGTTAATGTATAACTAGCATTGTAATGAAAACGTAAGAAAGAGTGGGAAGGTGCTGATGGTATTTCAAGTTGCATGGTTGAGTGGAGCGACGGTCATTGAGAATGTGGTCTATAGAGTTGTTCTGACTTAGCTTCCAGTCTTTCGTACTTAGCTATTGCTTCTAAACCTGCCTGATTGACTACAAGATGACAGTGAGTCAAATACACTTACTTGTTCGAGATCCTTGACCCGGCTTAACGCCGTATATGCTTGTCCGTCAGAGAAAATGTCAGAATTTAGGCGAGGGTAGCAGCTGACCATGACAGGCCTTGAACCTTGCTGAGTTGTTAACCTAAATGCGTTGATTATTGGAAGCTGCACACGTTTATACTTCGCCCCATCCGTCTGAAATATACCGAAGTTTTATGTAAGTGCATGACCTATCACGTTATAAGACTTATTATTAGGCTATTAGCTAAGCTGGTTATTAAAAAAGAATTGATTGTCGTTTTTCTCTATTCTTCAGAAGGGTTCATGTCATTTTTCTTCAGAGAAGACTTCCCAGCCTCTTAAACTACTGATATCGATGATTTTATGACATGTAGCAATCACGTCAAGTCTGCTCATTCAACTAACAGAGGCAACCTTATCCGACAGATAGGGTTCCCTTTCTGCTTTTCATAAGAGAGACAGTAGTGCAAAACACTGTTGTGTCTCTTTGTACCAACTTTTTGAATGGTATGACTCCGACCCCTGGTCCTTGGGAAGTACAGTCCCTAAGCGAGGAACAGTCGCATAATTTTGGAAGACGCAAAAGCCACCATGGGAGTCATGGAGTGCACCTTCTTCTAATTTGATACAGACTCATTATCATGCCTCTAGCAAGACCTATAAGTGGCCTGGATGCTGTTGCGTAGGATATAGGCTACTATTAGTGCTACTGGAGAAGATCCTAGTAGACCTGCCATTTTTTGCTCTGATAACGCAACAGTTATGAGCCCGTGTCGGATAACTCTGCCACTGTTTGTTGAGTATAGGAGAGTGAACCTGCGTGATAAGTAATGTGGTGGTGAAGCTGCTCCGTCACAGGAGTGATACAGATAGCTAATATATGTGAAACAGATTGTAGCATATGGATGAAGGGTCCGGTACGGTCAACTATAGATAAAACCTCAGGATACCGCTCTTGAGAAGCAGAGCCAGCCTTCCACACACGATTTTGAAAAAAAAAAGAACAACTGAATCAATGATAGCTAACTGCCTCACATAACCTGACAGATGCAGCCTTGGCCACTTACTAATAATTGACAAGCATAGTAAACGATCCTTGTTTTATTTTACATATCCTAATTTTTAGCTATACATACGACCGCATGACTCTCAGCGTCCTTGGCGTTACACGAGGAAAATGGGTTGACTCGTGGTTGTGAGGGTTTCAGCTAAGGTATTCCACAGGCAAGCGGCGCAGGCTTCTCGTATGCTACATGTCAATTGTACCCTCAAGTATTATGATCAAGTAGACTCTCTATAAACTAAATCTATGAATTAATTAGTCTTCCACCATTCGACATTGGTATGCCGTAAAGAATTAGTTCCACAGTGAACTTCTCCTCCACGAACATGATGCGACATGTAATCATCTATAAACACCACATTGAAGCCGGCTTCTGTATACACCTTGCCAATCTCACGCTCAAGCACGTCGACACCATCCACGCGAGGACCAAACGGTTTCGGGCAAATGTAATGCTGGTCCAGCACAAGACCATTGACCGCCAGAGGAAAGAAGCCTTGAAGCTGCCTCTCACCGGGGATAGTGTGATGAAGGCGCGCTGGAAAACCGTCCGGGTCGGCAAGCCAGTCGTATGTCTGGTCTCGCCAAAGAGCAGGCACGCGCAGAACATCTGCGTCGCTGATGGGCAGCTCCTCAAGGAGTATCTCGACATTGCGGTCAATAAACTTCTGAGCATACGCATTCGTCTTGACAAAACTCTCTTCCGCGAGCAGCGCTTCGACCGTCTTGTTAGGTAAGTCATGGTCGGCGAATATTGGCCAATTGTCGTCGGTCAAGTTGCCCTTGAAAGAGAGGAACGGCACAGTGCCATGGCCAGTCTCGTTGACGTGCTTGAGGATACGCATCGCAGAGCGTGTATCAGGAACAGCCACACGAAATCCGATTGTGTTATTAGACGGTAGAAACTGAACGAATTCATCAACATGGCCGGCTACCAGCCATCCTGCCTCCAGGTAGAGCGGCGTCTGCTCACGCTGCGCCTCGAGAAACTTGGTCAGCGACGCAGCCGGATACTTGTCATAGTGCTTGCCTAGGACAACCCGTCCATTTTTATACGAGACACCTGAGCGAGAAGTATATGGCGGAATGGTTTCAATGTTGCCGCCCGAGTTGATCTCTTCCCACCCAAACCCAGACTCCGGTCCTGGCTGCCAGCCACCCACACCGGCTCCACGCAGTTGCTCAAAGACCAAACGGCCGTTAGGTCGAGTTGATTGCGGCGACCGCAACAGCACTCTGATCGAGATGGGGCCATTGCGACCAGGCATGCTGGCAAAGGCTGGCTCCATCAAGTCCTGCGCCCATACGTCACGGCTATCGTTCAGTGTTATCAAGGGAACCGCAGGCTTGAGCTTGTGAATGATGGCGCCGAGAGTGTTGACGAAGGCACCCTGCCATTTCGATTCCACAGTTTGCATTGTCACAACGGCTTCCATGCTCTGGCGATGGTGATGCAAGAGGACAGGCGCCTGCCTCATAGCGACAAAGTCACTACCGCTGCGCATGACATCCGTGACCTCGATTTTGATGTTGACTAGCCCGTCCCATACAGTCTTGTCGGTAACCAGGTGCCTTGCGTCAATTGCAAGAGTCAGACCCGCGGACAAGGCCGTGCTGTTGAACTGCAGCTCAGACTTGACCAGTGCCCAATCAGATGAGCTTCCCTCGTTTCTGTGCTTCCAAAATAGTCGTACATTCTCAGCCGCCGACGGTGGCTGAACCAAGATCCTGGCAGTCGCATTCTTTGACAAATCAGCCAGTGGCAGGGTCTTGACCGGTGCCGCCAGGATACTGTTGATCAGCTCATCCCCCGCGGCGTCGTTGCAGGCTGCGAGTTCCCAATTGCTGAGTGGTGTGCCGACACCATCGTTTACGTGGCAGCGATGAAGCTCGTCGCCGATATTTGGCAGAAAGATTGCGCCGTGATGAGTAGTCCAGGCGTGCTTTCCGTATGTGTCGCGGTCGTCAACAAGGCCGTCTCTGTTGGTGTCGGCGAGGATAGTGACAGGAATGTCCAACTTGGCAGGATTGATGGCCTTTTGCGGGGTGCTGATGCTTGCCGCTACCGTCGAGACAGCAATAGTGCCGGTCAGGTATCCAAGAAGCGCAGGATGCATTTTTCCGCAGCGCAATCCTCTGGGAATCTTCAATCTGCTGAGGTCATGGAAGGGGTCCCTCCTGGCAGCACCAACTGATCCCTTTATAGTCGTACCTCACCGACTCCTTTGTTTGTTTCCTTTGTTTGTTGTTGGATGCTTTGACGTCAGGGGGATATCCATGTAGAGGCAGATGGCGCCCGCCGGTACTGGGACCTGGCTCTTGGCCCTGCTCGACAAAGAAGCTGTCAGGGGTTCGCGAAGAACTCCACGAGTCCGTGGCCCAGTGCCCACTGCCACGCGCGTGAACCCCGAAATTTGTAACATGCGACTTAAATCTTGCAATAAATTCTGGCCTATTAAGGTAATTCATGGGCCTTGTCGACTAATCAGAGCCAGCAGGCTCTTCAAAGTCACTCTCTTAAAGTCACTAACAAAAAAATCCCCCCCAGCGTGCCTCCAGCGTGCCTCCAGCACGTGCCTCTAGCATATACCTCTAGCACATGCCTCTAGCGCGTGCCTCTAGTGTATACCTTTAATAGTACTCTTAATAGTGCCTTTAAGTCTTTAATATAGCCCCTAGGAGTACTTTAAAGCACCTCTTTTAAGTATCTTATATACCTCTAAGCGGTGCCTTAATATATATGTATACGTGTGTGTATATTAGGAGGAAGAAATGGTGTAGGATAGTGGAGGGTGGGAAGCTTTATTAAGGGGTATATATTAGCCGTTATGTAGCTACGTGGTAAATTTCAAAGAGGACGTTATAAATTTCGTGGTTCTGCCCACGCAGCACTGCAGCTGCATGCTTATACATGCACGTGGTAGCTGTTTTTGGCCATATGATAACTACGACATATCTGCGGCTGAGGTAAGAAAGAAGACGGCACGTCTTGCAATTCCTGAACCAGCGCTAAAAGTCTACACGAGGTTTCCGTCTTGTGGCATAGGCGAGTCGGGTTCGACACAAAGTACATTTTATATGTGGCGCGAGGTGGCTAAATAGTGCTGCCTTGTCGGATGTACTGGCAGCGCGCGGAGGCCGAGATGATGATCAGAGCTTTGATGTGCGACTTTACACGTCACTTGATCCGACAAGTACTTTCCCGCTGGCCTCTTGGCGTGTGAGGCGCAGCAGTTGCTTGCTCACAAAGTTATTTCCGTTGCTGCCTGGCTATTGGGCCGCAGAAATTGCTCTCAGACATTCGATTCGTCATTGTCAACATGTACGTAAGAGAACGAGCACAGCCTCTGATACAGCCTCCATTGCGGCGTCTAATGCGGCGTCCAATTGTACAAGTGGAAGTTGCGTCGGAAAGAGAGGTGACGACTGACAGCAAATTTGAAGTTGCCCTCTCTCGCTTTGTCTAAGCATACTCGTTACATTTGTTTGTTTCTTTACTTTTGCGTATTGCTTATTCTATCGATGCTGCTTCTTGAATACTATTACTGGCTTCATCCAGTAACCAATCCATTTGCACCCTTGGGTAACATTGACGGGGTTGAGTAATGCCTCTTCAGAGGGAGACGATATCCGTTGCCGCCTAAGGACAAAGAATCGACGCAGTCTTCAAGTAAGCAGATAGGAGAGAGCAATTGTATTATGCATAAAAACGGTGTACCCGTTGGCGTATGCGCCGAAATGCACGTCGATGGGTGTCGGCGCAGCGGCATCAGGGCTATTGGTCATGGCAATATGGCCGCTGCTAACTAATTGTAATGTGGCCACCATTCTGTCCCAGATATGTGTGATATTTCAGCTTGAGTTAGTCATTCCCTTGAGACTGAATCTCAACAATGTTTAGAGCTGTGAAAGAGCCCTGAAATGTACGCCTTGACTTTGAAGCTGCGACCGGGCTCAACATTCTCAGTTCCTATCTACCGGAACACTCCGAAGTCGACTGCAATACACTCAAACTCTCGATCTACGCCAACAATATTGGCAAGGTCTGTGAAATGTGTTGAAGAAAACAAAATCGCGGCCGGTATTGACAACAGCGACGGCCACGTCTCTGCACCAACACCGACATCCGCACCAACAACCACGCCCACATGGACGCTTACAGGGACAGCAACGCCAGCAGCCTGGCCTGAGCAAGCAAACCATCGAAAGAATAATTCAAACACTGAGAGATTGACAATCTAAGGCTCCATTGTAATGGGTAATCTATACGGTCGGAGTGCAAAAGTGAACGATGATGCTACGCACAAGACCACTGATGATGAGATTTCTGGAAAAGAAAAATCATTTGGTTTCGACTGCACCAGAATTTGAACAAAAACTGCAGTTATAATTATGAATGAAAGTCTACTAGACAAATTACTAGCCTTCTTCAACTACAACGACGGACTACTACTTATGGCGAAGCCTCCAGAGCTCACTCAGTACTGATACCATTTAGCTCGTCGTAGATGTTTCCTTTTACATACGCATCCGCCCAACACATGTCTACCGAATTTCTTGCCAGCTGAATCATGTCTCTCTTGCTCAAGCCACAATAGTGATATACTTTTTCCATGTTGCCGTCGACCCACACGTCGTGCATGTACACCGGATCGTCGCTGTTTATGCAAAACGTGACACCGCGATCCAGAAGCTGTCTCAGCTTGGGAAACAGTACCTCGGTCGCGGTTCTTCTGTGGTACGCATGCGGACACAGCGTCAGACCGATGCCCTTTTCCACCAGCCCCTCCATCAGCACCTCCTCGTCAACCACATCCAGGCCGTGATCGATGCGCTCGACGCCCAGATCGAAAATTGCCTGACGGAGATGCTCGTGAGTGTCCTTTTGTCCGAAATCGCAGTGTGTGGTGGTGTGCAGGCCATCCTTCCTTGCCCTCGCAAAACTGTCGGCAAATAGGTTTGGCGGCCTGTCGTAGGCATTGCTCGCCAAACCAACGGCATGAAACAAGCCCATTCCGTCCGACCGCTTCGCCCACGGCAGCGCCGTCTCATAGGCCGCCTCGCCTTCCTCGACAGACTCGTCGCGGAGGAAACAAAAGATCCAGTTGCTGTGCACGCCGTACTGAGCTGCCGCATCCTTTTGCGCCCGCAGGTAGCCATCCAGGACATGCTCTGCCGGTATACCCCGGCGCGTGTGCGCCTGAATGTCGAAAAATGGCTCTGCGTAGCGCACATTCATCTCTCGACAGCGCTTGAAGTAGTCCATGGCCAGCTCGTAAAAGTCTTCTTCGGTGATGAGTACCTCGCAGCCGGCAAAGTAGAGCTCGAAAAACGTAGGTACGTCTTTGCGGCGGTCCAGCTCCGGCCGGTGGTTGTAGGTAATGGCATAGGATTCTAAGAGGGCCTCGTATGTCTTGTATTCCTGATCTTTGAAGCGTAGCGGGATGTTATTGCGGCGCGCAAGTTTCCACCGAAGCGCTGGCTGGAGCGTGCCTTCAATGTGAATGTGCAGCTCAACTTTGGGCAGGCTCGCGATAAAGGGCGATATCTCGAGGCCGTTCATGTTCGCGGTTTGACCTCCCAAAATGTCTATTGCAGAAGAGAAAAGACGCAGAAACCTACGACGTGATGACTGAAAACGGAAATGCCCGCCACAACAGCCGTTACTGCCGTCACTCTGCGGCCAGCCAATAGTTGCAACTCTGATGCTACCCATCTCCGCTACCCATCTCCGCTACCCATCTCCCTTTCCCCATAACTATGACATGTACGGATACGCGATGGTGGATTTTCAGTGGTAATTACCCCGGATTTGGGGCACTCTCCGCGCTCCCGATTTGCCGTATAAGTTTTCGTCTTATCGCAGCGCAACTTAACCCAAACATTAAGTCACAATATAATATTAATGCCCTCACAAGTATTGGATCAACAATATTGACAGCATACGGTATGGATGGTCTCCAGTTAACAACATATAGGGTATAGGATCGGCAATTCTCCTTCCTAAAGTATCTTAGCCTGTGCTCAAAGTCCATACATAAATAATGCAGTTATGCAAACAGCAGTCCTCGTTAGTGGGGGTGGCACTCCTTGGCCGACCGGCACTCGCCGGCCTCATCTCTAGCATGTCAAAAAGTCTCTGCGCCCATGCCGCGGAATAGAGAGAGGCAGCGACTGCTCCAGTCTCAGAGGAAATAATGCCGGCGTCAGATGTGATTGAAGCCGAGAGTAGTCGCGATGAGATGGCTCTCTCGCGTCGCGTCTTACGCAAGATTGATCGCGCCCTCATTCCGCTGCTGTTTGTCACGTACATGCTCAATTTCATGGACAAAGTCATCCTCTCAAGCGCGTCCGTGTTTGGCCTTAAAAAAGATACAGCGAGTTCACTTTGATACCCTGTGTTTGATATTGATGCTAATTCTGTAGAACCTCCACGGCCAGCAGTACAGCTGGGTCGCCAGCATCTTCTACTTTGGCTACCTCATCTGGGAGTATCCTACTACGCTGCTCATCGCCCGGCTGCCCGTCGGCAAATATTTGACGGCCAATACGGCGTTTTGGGGCGCTACTGTAGCTGTCACGGCCGCATGCACCAACTTTGGCGGCCTCATGGCTGCCCGTTTCCTGCTGGGTGTCGCCGAGGCCACCATCACCCCCGGCTTCATGTTTCTGACGTCGACCTGGTACACGCGCGATGAAATGCCCACGCGTGTTGGAATGTGGTTTGCGGGCAACTCGGTCGGCGGCCTGGTTTCCAGCCTGCTCGCCTTTGGCGTGGGCCACATTGAGGACAACATCCACCCGTGGCGCTGGATGTACATTGTCCTCGGCGTCGCCACCTTTCTCTGGACAATTCCCATGTTCTATTTCCTTCCTGATACCATTTCGAAAGCAAAGTTTCTTACCAACGAGGAACGCGAGATTGCAATGCGTCGAACCCTCATCGCAGGCACTGGAAGCACTGAGGACACCCGCTTCTCGTGGGAGCAGGTCCACGAGTGCCTCGTCGACCCCAAAACATGGCTGATTGTCTTGATCGCCATGATTGGCCAGATTCCCAACAGCGGCACGCAAAATTTCTCCAACATTATCATAAAATCATTCAATTTTACTAGCCTGCAGTCTACACTCATCAACATTCCGTACTCCCTCCTCACGGCAGCCATTATTGCTGCCACAGGATGGCTAGCTGGCCGGTATCGAACACTCAACTGCATTCTCATCATTGCGGTGGTGCTTCCATGTGTTATCGGCGCGGCCCTCATTTATTGCCGCGAGCACATTCCCTCGCACGGAGCGCAACTTTTCGCCTACTTTTTGCTGTCACCTGGCCCTGCATCCATGCCGCTCAACATGGCCCTGGTGCAGTCCAACTTCAAGGGCGTCACCAAGAAGCTTACAATTACTGCGTTGCTCTTCATTGCATACTGCATGGGCAACATTGCCGGACCCCAGTTCTTCCGTGAATCCGAGGCGCCCACATACAATACGGCATTCAAGACAATTATGATATGCTACTCATTAGTCATTGTCTTGTCCATTTCGCTGCGCGCGTACCTGCAATGGTTCAACGCGCTCAGGTCGAAGATGGAGGGAATCCAAGGCAGCGCAGCCATGGCAGGCGTCGTGGCAGATAATAAGCTGAGAAGTGGCACAGATGTCCCGCCAATGGAACTCCGACCCGAGGCTTTCGAGGACGTAACAGACTGGAAGACGAGTGGCTTCAGATATCGGCTGTAACTCTTTGTCGGTGACACACTATGCGTCTGCTGCACACTTACAGATACTCAATACGCCTTCACGATTGACAATCACTTTGAACAAATTTACTTCAAGTTTACTTGATCATTACACACTTGATTCATCAATTTAGATATGCCACTATTGTCTGGGCTACAACTGTTACCTAGTCGGTGGGTTTCCTACTTGTCCCTGGCCCCTCCGTACCTGACAATCACCGTCTCGTCGTCCTGGATTGTAGCCGTGCAGACGGTTCCGTCTTGGCAGGTCGACGTCACCGTTGCGGCCGAGCTGAGGTTGTACCAGCGACGGTTTGTCTTTTGGGCCCTGCACCTATCGAACTCGACAACGTGAAAGTTCGCCTCGGGTTCCTCGCCCTCGACAATCCACTCGGCCGAGTCGCCTCGTAGACTAACGCCGGGTGGTGCACAGAAGCTCAACGACGTATACTTGCGCGTCGTGTAATTATAAATAAAGAATGCGCCCTTTTTGTCGTCTCTTGGGAGGTCCCCAAGCACTTCGCAGAAGACTCGGTCGCATGGCCTGACAGGAAAGCCCTCCAGCTCTACCGGGTACGCCGGGTACCACTCAAACCAGGCGTACGTCTTATAGAAGCCGTTCTTGGCTTTGTAGTAGTCGTGGCCCGTTCCCCCAGCGAGCACGTCGTTGCTGTCCATCCTGTAGCCGTCAATCCCGACGTAGGCCGCGCTGTACCAAGCGATATGGTCGCCTCGGCCAGGCTCCGGCCGTGGCACCGTCCAGTCGGACTCAACCAAGTTGAAGACGAAGTCGGAGATGACAGCACCGGCCCAGTTTGTTTTCTTCCACTTCTGCGCCTCGTACCGGTCCCTTGTACGGCTGGTAACGTCGCGCTGGATGATCTTGAAGCTAGGGCGGACGAGCTCCATGCCCTTTAGCTCCGTGACCATTTTCTCCCACCTGGCGAAGTCCTGCGGGGCTTCATCCATGGAGGGCCGCGGGGGCAAACCGTACTGGGCAAGCTGCTCGGGTGTGGCGGTCACGGGATCAAAGTCGGAGGGGATGGGCTGGGGGAAGCGGACGCCATCCAGGAGCTTGCGCGTGTAATCGAGGCGCTCCTCTGGTGTTATGGAAGGCGGGTTGATAGGGACGGCATAAGTAACTTGAGACTGTCCACTGTCTGCCATGTTGGTAAAGTTCTGGAAGTAGGGCAAGTGGGGTAGATGGTGTAAGTTGAAGTGGCTTCTTGGATTCAGTGCGCAAGAAGATGGAGCAAGCAGCGCTTTAAATGCCCGGTATGTTATAGAATTGGGAAGCTGATTGAGACTCCGAATACTCGAGGAGGTGAGCTACTTAAGTAGTGAAGAGTAAAGCTTGGGTACCTGAAGGACACCGGCTCGTGATGGGCATGGGGTATGCCATGCTCAACCAGGCCTACGACCGAGTATCGACTTTTTCCTATTTACAAAGTCCCCTGATGAGTTGGAGAAACATGAGTTACAAATTATGTAGGGTTTCGTTACACGAAGCCTTGTTTTGCAACTTGATCTCGGACATTCTCCGAGGTTTTTTGCAGTCGGAAAGCAGCACCTGAGGCACCCTTGCTTTGTGAAAACTGCACATCGTCTAGCCAAACAAAGTAAAAGTGACAACTAGGACTCGATAGATTTATGTATCGCCATATAGTTCATAAATTCTTGATCTTCAATGAGTCAGTAAGTCAATGAGTCAATGAGTCCCGAGGCGCGGGGTACGCCTAGGTTTCTGGGCGCATTTGCATTACGCCAGACTCTTCCACTGGCAGAACGCTTGCGCTAGACCGATCAGATTGAACATCGCATCACCAGTAAAATCCCTTGAAACGCTAAAGAGACACAGTAGAGCATCATCAAAACTGGCCAGAGTACCGACGTCTCTTCTCAAGAGGTACGCCATTGCCTTTCCGCGTACCGTTGACTTGTTTTTGCGACAGACAAATAGAAACAACGCCACCATGCCAAACGTAAAATTTTCTCACCACCAATAGAATTGTTACAGCACAGCTGTGCGATTTGCTCTTGATCGCTTGCATAAATATTGAACTGCGCCTCACTCACAAGCGCCGATCAGAGAGGAACTGTAGCTCTACGCGAGGCATTTGGTGGTGCAATACGCAAAGGTAAACGCCGTGAAATAGAAAAATGCCGAGGGACCTTTTGCGTTGAAGAGTATGGACTCCGTCCCATAAGGTCCCGAAGTAGTAGCTCCAGACGTCCTTCCAGCACTGTCCAGTCCATGGTGGTATAATTACTGCTTTCGGTGCGAGCTTCACAATCAGTGACGCACTTCATGCGGCCAAGACCGTGGCTGTTTCGATTGACGATGAGCACAGGGATAGAAGAACTGGCCAAGGCCATCAAGGTGAACTGGAACGGGTCTTTGAGAACAAGACAGATACCTCGTCCGATTTCATGTTTGACGGCGGCGAGAAAGTGATATCGATGAACATTTAGGCAGAAGATTTTGTCAGCAGAATCATTTGCGAAGAAAACAATAGCTCATCCGAAGAGGGAGAAATAAACAGAAGCAAAGGCTGGGCGGCAAGCAATACTTCTAAACGCTGGGTATTGGCATCCTTGTTGGCTTCGCCGATGCTGACGACTTGAACGGGCTCGTCTCACTTGCGTCCATTTTCAAACGTTTCTCGGACTAGCAGTTGAAGGGCCAGCACTTGCTCTTACTGTTTATATAGATTGAGTATGTGCTTCTCCATCAGGAGCCGAGATGGCCAATTCTATTGTGCTAGGGGTGTAGTCGTTGCCCTATTCACAGTCATCAGTCATGTCCCAAGTCTGTGACGAAGCGCGATTCTATTTCAACGGCTATCGATATGCGAGGCAAGTCGAAAGCGGGGCAGAGAGCGAAATAGGCAACCAGCTTCCCGTATACCTTTCCAAGTACAAGTCAGGTCATTTTATCTAAGTCTTGATCAAGTGTCCTTTCTGCTCTCGTATGCCATATATTTACTGAGAGGCATATTTCGAGATAGATTTCCCTGTCACATTCGTGATCGGGTTTCATGTCAAAGGCTCTTGCTGGATACGTTGATTCTTCGCTTTCATTCTCCATTTTACATGCGGCTGCAAGTCGAAGTATTCTAACTGCAAAACATGCCTTCCACTACCCACGATACATCATTACGAGGACAGAGGCTCACTGATTGGCCTCATGCATCGCAGTGACAATTTTTCCACCCTGTGGTGAGCTCGGCGGCCAGATGCAAGCCCCCGTGGTAGCTGCCCGCATCGAGTCCTTAAACTCGAGACCAGTATTCAAGTCCTCAGTGCAGCTGTCTCTCCGACCACGCAGGCGACACCCCTTCATTAAGAGGCGGATGCGACCCCGCGTTGCTTCGCGGATGACTGGACCCGAGACCCGTCACAAAAGTGCTGGTCAGCTAACTAGTTAGCTATGCAGCCGTAAATTGGCAAGTCGCGTCGTAATAGCTGATTTGTTCCTGCAATAATAGCATCTCATATAGCCGGGGAGCACATTCCTTTAGCGCTCTGATAAGGCCGGGGAACTAGCCCGGACGCGCCCTCCTGCATCTGCCATGACGTAAGTAACTCACCAGAGTGCCCTCCGAAGGTCACGAATAGCATCACTTCTCGCGAAGCCGTCGGCCAATAAAGCGTCGCGTGCAAACGCAACGATTTAGACTTTATTTCCGTTTCTCCCAGAAACGAGTTTAGTGACAATCTCCCGCTTCTGGCCCCAATACAAACCCCCGGCAAACCGTATCACTACTTAGTAGCCCTACTAATAAAGCCCTAAATTCTTTGGCTCATGAAATGCCGAGGCGTTCTTGATGTCGATACGAAGTAATGGGTATTTTTGTCACGCTGTGATTGGCTAAGCATCCTGAAAGTGTCTGTCTCAGTCATTCTCCACTCGCAAAGGATAGCAGCAGGCTGATCGTTCCGGAAGCTCTCGGATGTAAGTCAGCTTCCAAACCTTGAACCGAGTCTTGCGAAGTAGGCTGCTTTTCGACAGCGTCGAAGGCTCTCAGACTAGATGTTTAAAGAGGGTATCGGCGTGCTCTGGGTAGTGCTTTGCTTGAAATAACCACCCTTGATATTGTCGACGTTTCGCGTGGGCATGTCAGTAGTGTTGTCCTGTATCAGCCGGCACGCTGTGACATGATTTGATGTGTTGTTTTCCATTAAGTCAATGTAGCTAATGAGCGACTTGGAAGCCGCAATAGTATGGAATAAAATATACATTACAAAGCCTATTTGCATCGACTGTTCATTCAGAAAAAAAGTGCTCTCTGTTGATTTCTAATATCTCGTGTAGGCCAAAGTATCACGCCAGCATCGTTTCAGGGGTTGCATTATAGGGCGTGTAGCTTGCAGCCACTGCAGCCGCAGTGTCCGACCGACCGCGTAATATCCGCGCGATGCACTTGACAAAGAGCAACTGAATCAAGATGACGGCCGGCCCGAACGTGAAGAATTCCTATGTTCGACCGTTTTGTGAAAGACGTCCCGAGGCTTGCGATTTCTTCTTTCGCCAATATGGCCCGTATCTTCGCAATACTAGAAACATCCATTAGCTGGTGAACATGCTGCAAGGGGAGTATACTGACTGATGACCGCACTACCGACAGCAACCAAGTCAAAAATAGCGAAGCCTGTGAAGAACCAAGCTATGCCTATTTTGTTTTTTAGACTTGGATACACGACAGAGGCGATGGCAGCGGCCGGGTTACGAAGCATGTTGCCCAGCGCAAAAGCGCCCACGGCCTGCAACGGGACGCATTCGCCCAAGAAAGCGGTGCTAGCGATGAAAACCCAGCTCACACCGAAGCCAGCTTAACACCAGAATGGTCAGATCGTCACACGGTGGCCATCAAGCGACTTGTACGATGCTTACCAAGAAATGTGGCTACGAGGACGGCTGCGACGTGAATAGACCTGTCGACAAACCACCCGAACATTGCCGTGCCGGCAACGCAGACGAGGACTCCCCATATCTGATCCTCGAGACGCCTCTCTGGCTCGACCTCTGCCCCCGGCGACGCGGCAACTCGCCTCACTCTACGCCAGTCATTGAAGTGGCCGCCAAGTAAGTTTCCACATATGAGAGCGATGCCGACTGCGAGATAACCCAAGCCGACGGTGGTTGTTGTCCAACCGTATCGGTCTTCAAGTGCATATGGCAGTGCCACACTTATTGCAAAATAGGTTGAATAGAGAATAGCCGTATTGACAGAGACGATGCCGATCGGCGGATAGGAAAATAGCTTCCAATAGCCTTTGAGCGTCGGCTTGGGAGGTTTGGGTCCGCGCTCGTGCTCAGCGACGACAGCAGACACCAGTCGAGGGGGCCATAGAAACCAGCTCTTCTCTTGGGCGATTCTACCATTGCCAGCGCGGTAGCGCAGGGTCTCGGGAAGGCAGAAAATTATGACTAGGCACAGCAGAAAGCTAACAAGCGCTACAGAGGGATTTCATCAGTGAAACTGATCAAATACGTCAAGATGATGGATGTGTAGGCACCAAAACATACCTAAGAAGCCTGGAATCCAACGCCAACTGGCCGCTCCGCCCAAGGCCGATCCAATGACCGGGCCAAACACGGGGCCGCATTGTGGCCCAAGCAAAAAGATGGACATTTTACGTCCACGCTTTGCGGGTTCGGTGATCTTTTGAATCTGTTAGTATCTGAGGACTGTATTATTAGCGGATGTCGCCATCTTGCAACTCACATCAGCAACAGAGCCAGCGCCCATGGAGACGACGGCACCAGCTCCAAAAGCATGGAAGAAGCGCAAAATCATAAAGACGGCAAAGTTTCGAGGCAATACTGCGATCAATAGGTTAGAGATGACGAAAACGGCGAGCGAGGCGATATAGATGGGTCGGCGACCACGGTAGTCGGCAAAGGAAGACCATATCAAAGGCTATCGGCGACGTATCAGCGCTTGACTCCGAATCACAAGATGCCAGTCCATAGGAAACTTACGGCAAAAGCAAATGTAATCATGAATAATGAGACGCTTGCGTTAATGCTCGTGTTGCTGACACCAAACTCTCGCGCCAGCAAGGGAAGGACAGGCAGGTACATGGTGCCCGACAGTGGCCCGACAGCGCCGACGAGCGTGATGATCGTGATGGCAAATCTTTTTCGGCCCGCTGATAAAGCGCAGTAGGGCGGTTTTGGCGAAGACGTGGAGGTAAATTCTCTGCTGTCAGACTCTTTTGTCACAGCTGTGCCGACATTGCCATTCTTGCATGAGGAGTTCTCGGTGCCATCTTTCAAGAGACTGCTTTCCGACAGAGGTTCTGTGGTGGTCGAGCTCGGATCTGGTTGCAAGGGAGAACCCGGATCTGGTTGCAGCATGGCGACTGGCAATAGTAATGTACAAGTGTTTGGCGGTTCTGGAGTTTTGCGAAACGAGGTCTGTTGATGACCAGGGACAAAGCTGTAAGCGACTTTTGTTGAAACAATGGAAGGCCTTCAGACAGCTGAAAGGATTAAGAGGAAGAACTTTGAAGCGTGCTCGAATGGAATGCACTCGCTCGATCATATGTTACCTACTCCCCATCGGGGGACCCCCTTGCTGAGCTATCTGCGGCGAAACTGAGCAAGTATTTCCGAAAACTACCTCAGGTCCGCACAGTAAATATAAAAGAGAAGATATCAAAAATATATCATTAGTAAAAAAGATGAATGAAACACGAGACAAAGGCGCGCTGTAAGGGACCCTGCGTCCCGTTGAGCGGACTTCGGCGAGAGTGAGCAAGTATTAGTAACTGACCGTTACTCGAGGCCACAAGGCCCGCACAGACGGACGGGTAGCGGGCCCCAGGGAAAAATGCTCAATTGAGATATCATACCGGCAACTCTTGCCGGTAATATGAGCGATAGGGGGGTCCCAACGTATGGTTGCGAGGACCCTCGCCACTCTGACTACAAAACGAGCCGAGCTCCTTGACGTTCCTGTTGGCGGCAAGACTAGTCAATGAACTGTGGCTCATTTGAAGAAGATAGAAATTGGCTTTCATTTTTCCAGCATAAACCGCTACATCATTACAGAAACGATGAGCTACCAAGGGCACGGAAATCGTAAGCCACTGCTTGGCGACGATGACCACGAACCTACCAAGCCTTCGGCCAACGAGCACTTGATCAACACAATTGTTTACTCTGATGTTCAAGAACCAGATCATGTCGCCGCGGAGAGACCTCTGAGCTCGAGGCGAGCCCTTTGGGGGTGGCTGGTACTTTGCTTCTCGGTACGTCCGTTGCTCGCAGCACCAGAGCTCACCCATCCATGACAGCCCAAACGCTGACAGCACACCAGACCGGCCCGACCGCAAGCATGATCAACAGCTACGCAACGGCAAGTATTCAGTCAGCCGCCAACAGAGTCGGACACATCCCAGGCACCAACAAGCCATGTGCGCATCGCGGCGCCATCAAATGTGTCGTGAAGCTAGGCGCTGGCGAGGTCGATTACCTGAGCTACTTGTAAGCTTCCCTCGACGATATCTTCCGAGTTTATTCGCGCTAACAGCAACACAGAATGTACTTGCAAGCCATCAGCCGCGCTACCGAGGGCGTCCTCTGCATTCTTGTGTCCGGCCTCGCCGACTACTCCAATAATCGAAAGACAATCATGATGGCTTCCATCTACCTGTTTGGCGCATTGGCCCTGCCTTTTGCAGCACTGACCGACAACAGCTATGCACACCTCAACACCCTGGCCAGCCTCTACGTCATCTCCATTACCATTTCTAGCATCTACAAGGTCCTCGAGGCGTCGTACATTCCCATCTTTATGCGTTCAGTAGGCTGGTCTAAGCACCCGGAGACTCTACAAGACCAGGCGCAGAGTGATGATGACTCCTCTCGCAAGAAGTGGAGGAAAGGAAGCCGTGTCAGTGTATTAGGCCTCATGGCGGGTAACCTGGGTGGTATCCTGGCCTTGCTGATCGGTGTTATCATTACCTACACCCGCGGTAGCTACGTTACCGAAGGCTACTTCAAGTACGTTACACGACTGACATGTCCAGGATTGCCTAGCTAACAGGGCCAGCTTCCTCCTTGCCATCACCATCGGCGGATGCTTGACCAGTAAGCTAATCAGAAAATCGATGTTAACCACATGTATGTACTGACACGGATAGTTATCTGCGCCGTTGCTGGCCACATGATGCTGCCCAGCATTCCTGGCGCGCAGCGTCCCAAAGATAAGATCGCCTTCCTGCTCCCAATCCGCACTTGTACGACCTAGCTCCCCAATCCAAGAGACACCATTCTAAAACATTATTTAGGGCTCAAGATAGTTGGGTCCATACGCCAATACCCAAACGCCTTCAAGCTTTGCATTGGCTGGGTCCTCTGGAACACCGCCTACTCCAACTTCATCGGTCTTCTCGGCGCGCTCTTCCTCGAAACCTCCGGCATTAAGCGCGGCAGTAATATATACACAGTATACACGTTCATGATGATATTATTCGCATGCATCGGCTCTCTGAGCTGGCTTTTAGGCTTCCACAAGTCGAAGCTGCACATCAAGTCCTGGGCTTACATCTTCTTAGCCGTCAACGCCACATGTCTGTTTTGGGGCTGCCTTGGCATCGCCAAGATCCCCATCGGCTACAAGCATCAGGCTGAGTTCTGGGTTGCTGATGCTCTATTCATGAGCACCAGCAGTGCGCTCCGCTCCCTGAATCGTGTCATGTACGCTTCGCTCATTCCCAGCGGTTCTGAGGCGGCGTTTTTTGGTCTCGAGATTACTCTGGATCTGGCTACAGGTTGGATCAACCCGCTTGTCCAAGGTGTCATTCAAAACAGAACACACAATCTGCGTTTCCCAATGATCCCGAACCTCGTACTGATTCTTGTCTCGATTGGTCTCTACGTATGGACAGATGTGGATCAGGGCATGAGAGATGCGGAGAAGACTCTGGTATCGGCTAATTAGTAGCTTGAGAGGGCTCGACGTTCGGAGGAGGCATTAGGATACAGATAGCTAGTATACAAAGTTGTTTCGCGAAAGTCCAACAATGAATCATCAATCACTTGGCTCTCCGCATCCTCAAATTGACGCACAGCTGTTTAATTGAAGGGAACTGCATCACGATGGACGGAGCGAAGTCAAGGAGGCACACAGCGAAAGAAAACAGCACAAGAACCATATTTGTTCGGAGGAGATTGATGGTATTGATACTATTGAAAAAGAAGAAGAAGAAAAAGATAACTAGCAGATAAGGTACAGGCGTGGAGGCGAGAAACGCAAAAGCCATCGATAACTTTGGGGGAGCCATCGCACTCACAGCAGGTCAGTACCACACTCATGAGTTATCAGTACTGTAAGAACTTCGCTCCTCAAAGATGAGCCGCAAATTTTTAGGCCACAAAGGACCGGCCTTTTCGACGCTTAGTTAGTGTCTCTAATGCTTCCCGGTAAGAACTTACAGGTGTCATTTTCTCTTTCCATGTAGGATCCAGCTTCCATCGCATCCGACGGACCAAGGTGCACAGGGTCACTCTTATCTGAAGAACCGCATATTGCTCGCCCAGGCAAGCGCGTTTCCCACCGTGAAACGAAATGAATTCTGCACGCGCCTTGCGCCTGCGATACTCTTTTCGGACACTTTCTGCAGACGTGCCCCATCTGCTAGGACGAAATACATCAGGATCCGGTCCCCAGGCAACTGGATCGCGGTTTGTCGAGTAGCAGTTGTACCCAACGTACGTGCCTTCTTTGATGAGAATATCACCTCCCAAGTGTACCGAGTTGGCGACTCTTCGGTTGATGAGTTGGCTGATGGGAGGAAAGAGGCGAAGAGTCTCGTAAATGATTGCGGTTAACTGTGTCATTGTTTGCATAATATTTTCGGTCATTTCATCCTCTCTATAGGCAACCAGCTCGTCGAAGAGCTCTTCCTGTACTTTCTGTAATCCAAAATCTCAGTAATGTACAGGATTGAAGGGTTGTGAAAGCCTTACCGGATCCTTTGCGAGCAGATACATGACCGAGACAAGAGCCAGCTGAGGGTTCTCTTGACCGGCCACAAATAAAACAGTGACATTGTCGCGAAATTGCTGTTCCGTAAACTCGCCTGCGCACTTTGCTTCCAAAAGGTCCCTGGCCAGAATAGGCTGTGCTTCCACTTCGCTGTCAGAGCGATTCTCCAGTCTGGAGACCAGATGATCAGTGAAGTCTGTCGCAACCTGCTGCGCGTGACGCCTGCCCAAGAAGCCGACACGGTCGAGTAATGGGAAAGTCATAAACAAAGGCTTGAAGAGTTCCTTGCGGAGCATTAATTGTAGGCGGTGAAGAGGCGTATCTCTGCTGTAAAGTGTCTGTGTATGTGTGTAAGAGACAGGAAATCTTGTCTGTTCGGTAAAGCCGCTTTGACCAACTCACTTCGTATCCGGTACCGAAGAATATCTCTGCAAAATTGCAAGTGGTGTATCTCTGGATGTCGGCCGGCACCATCACAGCATTGCCTCCGACGGCACCATTCAGTAGCATTTCACCGAGGACGATGGCGTTTTCCCGCAATTTCTCGACATTAGGGCGGGCTTGCAGTCCCGGCTTAATAACCTTCTGATATTTCTTCCAATTTTCTCCATGGCTAGATATTATATTGTCTCCAAGAAAATTTGCAAGCAAGGTGTGTGGAATCTTCTTCTGGTTTCCGCTTTTCTCGTACAGGTCGGTCTGCCTAAAGACTTCGGCAAGATACTCGGGACGGTGAATGAGAACGTTCCAACGAGATGCAAAGAAGATCTTTACAGCACCATGCGTACGCAGAGGCTTGTCAATATGCGAGCGAAAGACATCTTGCTGGTCGACATCCTTGAAAAGAGGCAGCATCCCGACCCAGAACGGTATTGTCGGGATATTGCACGTCTCTGGCAGCGGGAAGAAGAGATAGCGGACGGCATACAAGATGCATGATGCAACGACGACCGCTGCTGCGAGGACATACATGGCGTTACCCTCTGCGACTTAGCAAATACCGAATGCACAGAGGCAGACACAGGCGTCTTCAGCTTAAAGATATGTGACACGTTTTCTGCGGCACTCGTCAATTAGCACGAACAACGTCAAACTAGCTCAGGTCCACGAGCTGTTCAGCCCCGTATTCAACGGCGCGCTGGTCCGGCGCACGGTATGTATCTGCGGTGGCACATCCGATGCAGTACGGATACACAACTCGGCACTACTTTGCAGGCGCATCAGACCATGATAACTAAAACCTTCTCAGACACTCGAAGTAAACTGAATCCAAGTAAAATTGAAGTAATATTCACTCGGTTGTTACGAGACTAGCTTTGAGAATATATCATTCTAGTCGCTACGGTGCGGAACTCGCACGACATTACACGCGCATTAAATCATGCCACTAAAACCTGCTCAGACTCACAAAGTAATCTAAGACGAAGTAAGAATTGATGCAATATCAATTTGACTACTATGAGGCTAGATTTGAGAAAGTATTGCTTTATTCGCTATAGTGCGGAACTCGCACTACTCTTCACGCGTGTCAGACCACGGCCACCAGAACCTTATCAGGCGCAGGAAGGAAGCTGAAGTGAGGTGAGGTCGAACAGAGTATCAGCTTGATTACTGCGAAATAACATCTGAGCAAATATTTCTTTGGTCTTTGCCCGGGCAGACGACAGTAAAGTTGTCATTTTCGAGTCTTAGTAACATCATATTAATTTGCTCCAGTCGAGCACATTTCGCCATGCGACGAAGTAGGGGTGCATGTGCGAGAGCACGTTCGCCATTCGGGAGAGAACTATTCATGAAATCGTTCCACAAAGTATCCGAAAATTGCCTGTGATGCTGTATTGGTGAATATTAAAGTGACTCGTCTGACCTACGATTCCGTATCATCTCTCGTCGGCTCAACCCTCTGTGATATACCACCAACACACGCAAACTTGCGAATCCCGCCTGTTAGGCAAGCAAACAAGCAAATGACAGCCGACAAGAAACCCGCAACAGCCATGACTTCGGCTCATGCTAGATATGCGGGAGGTTTCATCCGCACATCAACGGGATCCCTCATCTATGACTTTGGGCCCGCGCGAGGTCTCATAACGTCGCAATGGGCGCAGATCGCTGGGCAGCTTATGAAATCCCGAGCACCAAGCGATGTATCATTGAAACCTTCTGGACTCGACATAGAGCTGAAGTCGTCTGTGCGAGAATCAGATACTTCAAGATACTTGGTATACGAAGTGCGACATTGCGACAAACTACACATCGTCGGATATCTACAGCAGGCGAGGCTTGGTGATGTCGACCAGGCGAAATATGCCTTTGACAGTTTCTTGGCTTCGCTGGTACTATCTTCCATACGCGTCGACGGCAATGTGGATCATGATATTTTCACCAAGCTGAATGCTGAACGCATCACGGACGCTGTCATCAGCCTTTTTGAAGTCACTCTTCAACATAAATCCAAGTATGACAAATGGCATGCTGGTGGCCGAGATGTGTTTCGAAGATGTGTGGACGGCTTTACATCACGAGGAAAAATGATTGAGTTTTGTCTACCAGCTTTCCCTTGCAAGTCTTCCAACACGCAAAAGGTTCTCTCAGATGTCCCGGACCGTGGGGAGTACTTGGCTCTGACCAATTTGCATAACTTTTTACGGGAAATTGAAAACATCTACAGCCCAGGAGCAAAACTTTGGATCATTAGCGACGGCCACGTATTCAGCGACTGCAGTAAGTTTTCATGATTGCATTCTCTTTTGCCATGCTGATGAAGTTGTAGTTGGCGTCGACGATGATGATGTTGATGCGTACGGAGAACAGTTGATGAAAATGAACCACAATATAGCACAGAAACTGGGCGGCCAGAACAGAATTGAATTCCAGTCTCTGATCGATATATTCGCTGCTGCATCTTTTGATCTGCAGAGGGAGCTCGACACTCATCGTAGAGCTTACCCTGAATTTCTCTTGCAACGCCACCTACCGACCAACACGACAGATATTGCCGACACGTGCCGCAGTGTACTCATGTTGGGATTCGGTCCAGACCAGAGCCAACTGAGAAACGAGCTAGACAGCCACGATGCGGGCATGACCGCACTATATCGAGGATTTTCGAAGTTCATGCTCGAGGATCTGATCCGCAACAAGTACACAAAACACCTAAGCCGAACCCAAGTCCGTAAGATCGCGGCAAGAGTGGCCTTTGAGATGATACAGGTACGTTCTCGAATATTCCTGCACACCACAATTTTGAATGTGAGCCGCTTCTGACCCTGTGTGTAGCGTAACCAAGCCTACTCCAATCTTGTCGAGGCGGTGTTCCCACGTCACATTCGGCTGTCAATCCACGCGTAAGTAAGCAACGCCCAGCGAGTAAAAGACTAGACTGACTAAACCAGACACGATAACTCTGGACCCAAGTTTGGCGTCAATTTGCTTGGCCGCAACGCCAAAGCCACGGACACGCTACCGCTTGTTCTCGAGCACCAAGACGGTGGCGATATCTTGCACGTCCCCACACCGTGGCATAATTGTGTCGTTCAGATAGATGGCCATCCTTCAGTTATTGTCACAAAGTCAAACATTGTACGAGAAGCTCTGGCATCAGGGAAATTTCGTGGAGGCATTGTGGATTCACCAGTGGAAGGCCTTTACGCACATATCACGCCGCAGTGATTGCCCAACACGGCAGATATACCAGTCTAATACAATTGCATAATCTTGTATTAGATAGCTCCATATATAGCGGAGATTTTTTGCACTGGCTTTTCTCACTATTTCGGAAATCCTTCACATTTGCCTCGGTCTTGATCACGCTCAACCGAGCCTCGAAGCTCGCATAGCTACTGTCGTGAAAGATCTGGTGGTAGACGCCGGCCCGTGCGAGAAGCAAAGAGCCCTCAACATTCGCCCAACTTCGCGGTAGCTACGATACCATGGGAACCTTATCAATTTGTTCGTGTAAGCATTCTGGTTTGGGAAAACATTATGAAACTCAGGGAAAGATCGTGCATGGCTCCGTTGTAGAGGCTGCTGTACTCAAAGGCGATCTATCGCAGAACGCGTACGAATACCACTCCTGATAAGAGCTTAATGAGAGTGGTGACGGCGCCTTGCGGATACATGGATGGGCTCGGCGTCTCCGGAAGTTGTTACAATCGGCGCGATCAGAACTATCAAGAATAAATAGAGCAAATGAGCTCATACGTACTCTGTGGCACATATTCTATCAGCACAAACATTCTCTTCACTTTCTGTACCCTACCGTCCATGGTCTAGCCGCGCAGTGGATCTTCGACGGTCCTTCAAGAATGTCTCAGTCTTGAGGAGCAGATAGAGCCCCGTGCCAGGCTACAAAGCGGTCTTAAATTAACTTTAGGGTTAGCGCTGGGCTAGGATAGTAAGCGGAGAGGAGATGTTCTATATGTTGCCTCCGTTTTCTAGAAAATTGGCAAGCAATATGATAATACAAGAGCGTGTTTGAGGTGATTACACCCGTCAGCTTCGGGAATAACTACTATATGATCATTTACGGGTCAACGGGTCTCCGTATGACCTTCCGAAAAGGGTTAATCATGGAGCATGCCAGGCTTCTTAGGGCTTAGCGCGCTAATCAGTGGCGTGTCCAAGTGGGTACCACATACACCATACTCTATTAGGTGATACAATATGTTCTGTACTGAGTATGCCGAGTTAGCAGTTGATAGATAGCCTGATGCCGACAAGGTAGAAAGAGATGCTTACAGGGTTTCGAGCATATGACCACCTATGCTTGGCAGATTGTTACCCTTTTATCGAAGACAGGTTCATTCTGCAGTCGGAAGAGATATCAAACCGGGATATAGACCTGAACCACCACGAGTATCCATATGCTGCTGTGGGGCAGAGCTCCCTCTAATTAGCAGAGAGCTTGAGCCGCTTACATAAGCTATGACAGCCAGCATGCTCAGCCCCAATAATAAAGGCGAGCTATGTTATTCTCTAGAAAGTCTTGCTTAACTTGAGTGCTATGGCCACCGACTGAGCGTAAGTAGTGCGATAAATTATCGAACTTTAAAAAAACAACCCATCACTGTATTCCGGTGGCAGTGCTATGTGATACGACCTAATGCTCACTAGATAAGTATCAATTAGTATGCGTCTGTTTGAGATCTTTGTTGCTTCTACACTTGCGGTCCTTGCGCATCCTCGCACCTATAAGTTAAAAACAATCCTCGTGTCTGCTCCAAGTCGCTAAAAAGTTGTCGCGTCAATACAAACCCCGGAAACAGTTTCCTCGCAGCAAAATATCGAACCCAAAATGAAGGCAAGTCACCTAGCTATAGACACTATTACTAGCATGTATATAGATATAAGTAGTGTCTAGATTATTAATTTCTCTTAGCAGCTAGAACTATAGGCTACATATATAAATGTGCATTATAACGGACGACTAGAACAGACGTAACAAACTACGTAGCACCCATCTCCTTTCCGCACAACGTATCACTTCTTACAATTCTCAGTTTCACTAGGCTGTATCTATGCTGGTGGCGTGGTGCTATTAGTAGTGCCTGGAGTTGTCGACGAGGTAGTGCTTGTTGTAGGGGTAGGAGTGTAGATGGACAAACGGTCTGAGAAATGCGACACCTTAGTCAGCATGGTATGGACACTATCAGCGAGAATGGGTTCGTGTAATTGTGGTTGTTTGCTCACCCGTCATATCATCTTGCTTGAGAACGCAGTAGCTGTACTGAGAGGACACAAAACAGTCATCGTCATGTTTCAAGCTAGGGTTCCATCGTACCAGCTGCGTCAAGGTGATATCGGAGAAGCTCGCCCATATACGGCAGCTGTTGAGGTCCGCGTTATTGCTCGTAATAATATCCGGATACGCATTTTTATAAAGATCGCAGCCATCGATGGTGCCCGAAGCGCGTGGCAAAAGGGCTGGCGGGTCAAACGAGGGGATGGAAGAGGGTGTCTCGGGCGAAGGCTTCGCAAAGGTGGTGCTAGGCACGGTGACGGGACAGTCAGGATAGGTCTCAATGGTCCCCACGGGCTTGACGCAGTAGGAGTAGCCCAGCCAAAGGTTGTTGCAAGTTTTGTTGTCCACGCCCGCGTTGAGGAAGTACAAGTCGTCCAGAGTGATGCTGAAGGCGAGCGAGATCGACGCACAGGTGTCGCCGGAGCGTATCGTGTACCACTGCCCACAGTGTGTGTTGGAGGAGCCATGTGCATTGCTCGGGACGGGCGCGTCCGTGGTCACGCTTCTGCCGTTGGAGACCTGCACGGTGCCGACAGGGGAACTCAAACAGATGTATCTGCCAACCCACCCGGTCAATGTGGTGCACCCGGGGCTGATAATTGGGTTCCACGCAAGCAGCTGGCCCATCGTGATGTTTTCTGCCGCGGTAATGCCAGCGCAGCTATCGTCAGGCTGTACTTGGTAGGTTTTGCAGGTCAGAGGCAAGCAAAGTGAAGTGCCGACGGCGGGCATAAAGTTGCAGGTCACATCGAGGCCGTTGACGCTAATGAGGGCCTCGGTCGAAACTTTTTGCGCAGCAGCAATGCTGTTGCAGCTGTCGCTCTCCTGGATCACGTATGTCTTGCCACTCGCGCAGGTCGGTGCCGGAAGGGGGTCTCCTGACGTGGAATTGCGCGCAAAGCTCGTGGGCGTGGCATAGCCATATGTGCTGACAGCGCAGCTTAAGGTAGTAGAGGCGAAGTCTGAGGCCGCATCCGGGTTATAGCCGAAGGGGGACTCGAGCTGCTTGGCTTGCACCGCAATGGCACATTCGGAGCAATTTTGAGCATTGGTCGGCGGATCTGTCTGGTTCCGCTCCTGTGCAGCAATTAAGTCACAGTAATGGCCGCTGGCCCTGTGCAGGTCTGTCAGCCACCAATAAGGAGAAGTGACGGGTACAGAAGTACTTGGGCTGTTACATACGAGTCTTTGAGGCAATGAATCCCCGCCGCGAAGAGAAGTCTATCGACGACAAATGTTGCTGGCACACATGCGTAAGCGAACGCGTTTCTCGATGCTGCGATTGATGGAAGAACGGGTTGAGCGAACCTGGGTACGCAATGTTGCCTGGTGGTGGAGCCATAACGTCTTGCGATGTAGTGCAAGAGGAAGAGATCAAGTGTCTCAACTTGGATAGGTCATCCCGGCATGTGCTCTCGCAAAGCGTCTTTAGGCTTGTCACGTCCAAAAGCTCAAAACTGGACGCAGAACTAACATCAGGCCTTCAGTTAGGAGCACCATCTTTGGTTGCGGCTGGTCAGGGTTCAATCATGAGCTTACAGTCCCGTGTTCTCAACGAACGAGGCAGGGCAGGTCCTGACCGTGGTGTTGACTGCAACGAGGCATTGGGTGCTCAAACCTATGCTCTCGTACGGAAAGACATAGTCCGTAAACTGTTGGCCGAGGACTGCAGACAAGGCGTAGAGCAACAATGCCAAGTTACGTAGCGCAACCATGTTTGTATGCCGTCCGTTATGACACAATGGGATATGATGTTGCACCGTGAACCGAATATTCTGAGGGACAAAATGTAGCAAAAAGTTGGAAAACATTGAGCACACAAACAACGGGCAAGCAGGGCTGCGGATAGGCAAGCCCAAAAGTATGAATGACAATGACTCTGTTGGGAGGGGAGGCATTGGTCCTCGGCGGGATCCGCCCAAATCGACGCCAGCTCCATGCGTGGATTTTTGGACTTTTTGTTCTCGTCCTGCATCCGGGTAGCTCATGCATAAGACGCAGAGATGGCTATCGGGAGTGCTACAGTGTGAACGAGTTCATCTCCGAAGCCGGATACATATGCGTTCTTTTGCAGATCGCGGAACTGTTGTTAGTAATGATCTAGATCGTTCTCGAGCCTATCAGGGAAAAGAATCGCAAAAACGCCCTGTGGTTATTACCCCTGCATGTGACCCCTCGTCATGTCAGATTGGGAAACGAATCACAAAAGCCCTGTGGATTACACCCCTTATTCTTGCATATGACCTGTTCGGTCTTGCATTAGCCCCAGCCTGACCGGGACTGGCCAGCCGTAGAGGACATCGAGTCGGTTTAGATCGGCCTCCAAACAGGCAGAATTGCTTTCTGACGCTCGTGCGCGCAACATGTATTTATATGCTCATGACTGGGAATTGGCCGTAAAGACCAGAGTCCACCTGAGGGTATCTACGTGAGCCTTACCGTAATCTCCGGTGCTGCATAGCTTGAGTAATTACACCGTGCATTAGTTGCTTTGCCGCAGTTCTTCTGCTTTACTTGCCGAGAGACACAGAAACAAGGTTGTTCCTTGGCATCTACCATGAGCGTAGCCGAAAATAGAGTTGCTGTTGACACACACGGCTACTACCCGCCCACCTTGTTTAGTGAGCCCTTGAGGTGATATACATATGCCGCGGTATCGGCCCCCTCGCTTCGACCGGAGAAGTCGAACAGTGTAACTGGATTGCTGTTAGCGCCTAAGCTTGTTAATATGAAGCTTGCCGTCACTTTGTTTGTTGGTGGTGTTGGCTTTGTGCTCGCGAGTCACGGCCATTATTCTCATTATAACTCTGCTAGGCGGTTCTCGGCGCTGGAACGACGCGCTCGGTCTTTGCATGAGGCCCAGCTTCTCCGACGTGAGGACTACAATTGTGGTCCCGGAAGTACGCAGACAGCCGTAATATCTCTGCTATGTGTCATTATTCGTTGCTAATTCCAGCTCTAGGGCCTTGTCACAATGGCGCATGCTGCGGTGGTATACACTGTCCACGAACCGTTACTGTGATGAAGGCCGTAAATACTAATGGAGAGGTGCAGAATCTGGTTACTGTGGTTATGGATCGATATACTGTGGCAAGGGATGCACCAGTAACTGTAACGCTCATGCCGAGTGTGGGCAGTTCTCAGATCCTCCAAACACAGAGTGTCCACTCAAGACTTGTTGCTCCGAGTTTGGATTCTGTGGCACAACCAAAGGTATGTGTCCCGGATCCAGCTGTGTCACATAATGACCAAAACAGCCAAAAGCTAACACTACTTCTCTCCAGACTTCTGCACTGGTAAGTGTCAGTCAAACTGTGTCGAGCACCCCAAACCCCCTTCTGGCGAGGGTGACCCGCTGTCTAAAGGTAAGTCGCCCGCCGCATTGAAGAAGATAAGTCATTTCTCAAGTATAATTATACAGTGATTGGCTACTACGAAGCCTGGAATGACCGATCCAGTTGTCATCAAACCTCTGCGAAGGATCTGCCCGGTACGTCTTAGCTGTCTGTGGCTTTGCGGCTTTCCCTTTGCTTCTGTCGCAGCATACGCAGCTAATCGGACACAGTGGACGCGCTCACGCATTTGAACTATGCCTTTGCCTATGTCGATCCCAACACCTTCGAGATCACGACCATGGATGCGGCGACGCCTGCTCGCATCTTCCAGGACGTCGCCGACCTGAAGAAGACCAGCCCCAGCCTGAAGATCTTTCTCAGTCTTGGCGGATGGACCTTCTCCGACAACGGCACGTCGACCCAGCCAGTATTTGGAAACATTGCCCGCAGCTATGCCAATCGTCAAAAGTTTGCCACAAATGTGCTCAAATTTCTCAGCACGTACGGCTACGACGGCGTCGACATTGACTGGGAGTATCCCGGAGCCCCAGACAGAGGCGGCCATTCGGAGGATGTTGTCACGTATCCGCTTCTACTGCAGATAATCAGACAGGTATTTGACGCCTCTGGATAGGAGCTTGGCATCAGTTTCACAGCCCCGTCGTCGTACTGGTACCTGCGCTGGTTTAATCTTCCGAAGCTGGCCCAGTTTGCCGACTGGATTAACCTTGTAAGTGCCAAGTACGAATCTTCCTGGTTCAAGCCATTTCACTGGGGCAGGCGACTGAGTTGAAATGCTTTGTAGATGTCGTATGATTTGCACGGCGTCTGGGATAGCACCAATCCCATCGGCTCTATAGTCCAAGGACACACGAACCTTACAGAAATTCAGCTAGCCGCTGAACTTTTCTGGAGAGTGGGCATACCGCCATCCAAGCTTGCGCTAGGATTTGGATTTTACGGAAGAGCCTTCACTTTGGCCGATTCCTCTTGCACAATACCAGGCTGCGCGTTTAGTAGCGGAGCCAAACCAGGCGTGTGCACAAGGACCAGTGGCTGTAAGTTTGCTTATTGAAAAAATTGCCCATCTCGAGGTCACTCGTGCTCATGCAAACTGGGAAGACCTTTCATACTATGAAGTTCAAGACATTTTGAGCAAAAACAAAGGGCTCGAACCCGTGTACGACAAGGACGCTGCTGTCAAGTATTTGACTTTTGACAAGGACCAGTGGATCTCATACGACGATAAGGACACTTTTGCGGACAAAATCGACTGGGCCAAGAGGATCGGGTTTTCGGGTTCTCTCATCTGGGCCTCCGACCTCGGTAAGACCAACATCTCCGTCATATGCTCTTACGAGCAATGTCACTGATTTGTGCGTTTCTTTTTCTCACAGACGACTACGAATTCACAGCCCATAAGGCCTTGATAGGAAAGCCAACCATTGGATCGTTACAGAACAAAAAGGCTACGGCGGCAGCCTCAGAGGTGGCTGCAACTTTTGGTGACAAATGCTATTATGAAGAAAATTCGCACAAGCAGATGTGTGAGCCGGGCTACATAATCATGGGCCGTGACAACCAAGGCGGCCACTGCGGTGAAAAGGACAAACTCTGCGGCAATATCATCTGCTGTCCAAAGTCGTCGGGCCTCGGTGACTGTACCTGGCGCGGAAGCGGCGGTGACTGCAACGGCCAGTGTCACGAGGGTGAGGTCAAGCTGTCGGACTCGAGCTGGGGAGGTTGGCCGGGCGAGTCGAGTGGGAAAAAGCGCTGCGGTCGCGGCAACAAGGCATTCTGCTGCAAGGCTGACAAGTTCGACAAGCTTAAAGACGGCTGCCGCTGGAGTGAATTCAATGGGAGATGCAAGTCAGACGAAACAAAGGTCGCGTATCAGTTTCACGAAAAAGATGGGCTAGGACTGAAGTACTGCTGCAAGGACGACAAGCCGATGCCCGTATCGAACTGCCATTGGGTCGGCCAGGGGGATTGCGCACAAAACACATGCGCCAAAACCGAAATCACTCTCAGAACCTCGGGCAGAGGCGGAAGCTTCAATTCGTGCAACTGGTGGCGTCTGAAGTCGCTGTGTTGCACGCCCAACGGTGACGCGCTCACTGAGGAGTACAAGTGTGACGACAACCCATGTGATGAGGACGGCTTTTGTGAGGACGATCTTGGGCACGTAGCGAGCGGCTGGAGCACGCACTCTGCTGAAGTGTATTTCGATGCCGGTCATGAAGACGAGGTCTACAACGAACTCGACTCGCAGGAGCTTGCGGAGCGGCAAGCCGGAGGTAGCAAAGCTAGGCCTGGGCTGCCACGTCAGCAGGTTCTGCACCTGGTCGTGCAGAACTTGGTCTGGAACTCGCGCCCATATGCGACGGGCGACAAGCGAGGCTGGCTTTTCCGTTTTGCCGGCGGCCTGGCCGAGATGAGCCTCAAGGGCGCTTTCGTCAAGGACAGCCAGCACTGCCAAAATACGGCCCTCATCTTCAAGAAGATTTCAGAGCTCGCCTCCACGGGGCTGCAGGCGGAGCACTTCTTCGAGATTCAGATGATCAAGCAGCTGCTGGAGACAGCCATCACCGGCATTCTGCCCAACGTGCCGCTCGGCAGCGTCAGCATCATGCCGGTCCTGACCGTGCCCAAGCTGCTGGAGACGAATTTGGTCAACGGCTGGAACAAACTTTACCCCGGCACGGCACAGCTGCCACCGATTGTGCAAAATGTCGCGGGCCTGAGCGGCGTTCCATCATACTACACGCCGCCTGACAACACCCCGGCGGATCGCATCATGAGTGCCATCGGCGACTGGGGCAACATGAAGAACATGCTACTGGTCCAAGACCACATTAATTGGGTCAAGGGCAAGCTGTTTAGCCTGCAGAATCCCATTTCCGAAAGGACTCTGGCCAGGACGGTCAAGAAAGCACTGGCTGGCAACGTTGCTCAGGCTCAACACATCTCCTCCATGTTACAAAGTGTAAGAAAAATCACCCGCGCCCAATTATCACGGACGGGCCGGCCGGTCGGCCACAAGATGAAAAGCATTAACTAACATGCATATGCAGGTCTACGGCGTATTCAGCTACATGAACGATGCCTACTCTGAGATCACGGAGCGAGAATCCTACCAGCAGCTTACTGCCGAGATTGGCTACATGGACCAGTACATTCCTGAGCTCAAGGGCATCAAGGACATTTGGCACGAGTTCATGCCTGCCATGAAGGAAGCTGTAGGTAACAAGGCTGTCTCGTTTGTTCAAATGGTGCACACAAACGTCTTTGCCCAGGTCACTGCCACCGTCGCGGCTGGTGTCCCTCATCTTGAAACTCTACGCAAGGATCTGGATTATTTCTTGGATCACGTCGAAAAGCTAAAGTGGCAGTCGGGTAACTTCCGTGACGAGCAAACAATGACTATTCAGTCAAGTACCTACCCATGGTGTAACTTTATAGCAACTGATAACAAGACTTGAGGGTGCTGTCGTTTCGTCGGCCCTTTGTTGCACTTTAGGCAGTGTTATTTTGGGATTCCTTTATCCTTTTCGGGCGCTCAAGCTGTGAATCAATGGAAGAACAGCATATTAGCATATTTATTTTTCTTCCAAAGAGCCGGTAGCATTTTTTTCTTTTGTCGCTCGTAGTATAAACCGCTGTTCTCTGGAGATAGACTTGCGTCGTAGCTAGGTAAGGTAGGCCCTAACACCTATTCGCAGCTATTTACTACTTCTTATTAGACTTAAGATATATACCTACCTTCAGAAGGATAATATCTCTGAATAGTCTTATATATATAGTATCTACTATTATAGGCTTTTTATAGTACTCTTTAAATATTATATTATTAACTTAATATAACCTAATATAGTTTAATATAATATTTTTTAAATTATATTTCTTAATTAATATATTCTTTAAGATAAAAAAATTAATTCTTTTTATAATATTATTGATATTTACTTTATATAAGATTTATTATATAAATAACCTTTAATAAAAATATTATAACCTAAAGATATTAAC